ACCCGGGGGAGGACCGGAAGTGCCCCTTCCTGCTCTGCTGCTGCTTTCCAGTGAACACTGCAGACCAGCGCTTCTGGACTGGTGGGTCCTCCCCGAGCCGGCGGCAGCTGGTGCTCTGGTGGCAAGACAGTATTCAGAATCGCCAGAAGGCGAACGCCAGGAGGCCAATTTCAGAATCATTGTGCTCTTTTAATTTTCGCCATAACAAGTTATTTATTTTGAAATTTGAAAGAGCATTAAAAGGAGGGCAGGAGACTTTTGTGAAAAAGGGAAACATAGATTTTTAAAAGTTAAGAACCTTGCTCCATTCTAGAGAGAGAGAGGCTGGCATTTTTATTTATTTCTGTGGAGACGAGTATTTTTCAAATGATGAAGAACAATAGTAGGTTCCCAATGAATGTGGCAAAAGCTGGCTGTGGTAATTTTCACTAGCATGTGATCTTTTTTTCGACATACAGGATTACGGAATTATTGCCGTTTTGTACTTTTCTTAACATTGAAGTTCAGATGTGAAACACTTTGCTAACCTTGTTGCTATTTTTTAAATATATGTGGTGCGAATCCAGTGGCAGGTTGAGGCCGGAAGGATAAGCGACAGGTGTGGTTAGTGGCATAGGGCTTCAGTGTTCAAAGCCGTGCCTTTTGCAGGCCCCCAGAAGCCTGGCCCCGCTGCTTGGGCTCGTGAACTTGAGCAGGCCTCTGGACCTGTGCCAGGCGGCGGCGCTGGCGGGCTGAGGCCGCGGCCACAGGCCCCACACAGCACCTTGGTTTTCACTTACACTTTTTTTTTTATTCCAGAGAAGAATCTCAAGCTCTGCCTTACTAATTAAACAGAGAGTTATTTTGAAATAATTATTTTTTCATGTAAATTTTTATAAATCTCTACTCTGGAAATGAGTTCTAAATTAAATCACTGCAATTTGCAACTCCACGGTTTTCATTCATTTTTTGTGCAACACTTCCCTGGTGATTCCAGTGCAGATGCTTCCGCAGAGCCCCTGTAGCCCCTTTGGACTGTCCTCGCTGCCGCCGGCGGCCACCCGGGGACCGGAGGAGATGCTCATGGGCCGCCTGTCCTGAAACCTATCTTCAGACATTACGCCCTCAGCCTTTGGTGGGCCATGAATTTAATGAGACCAGCATCGTTTCTTTAAAAAGGAAATAGAAAATATCAGCCTGTGTTTCATGAAGTAAAAGTTAGCATTATTTTAGCAAAACTTGTTTTGGGTGTTTGGGTGTGTAGGGTTGTGTGTGTGTGTGTGTGTAGTGAATTGCAGTGTAAAGTGTATTTCTAACTGTGCGTTGTGGTCAGAATTTGAATCCACTTCTTTGGATGTTAAGCTTCTTCGCAAGACTTTATTTGATCTTCTTAAAACAGTGAACATATATTTTATTCAGCTGTGACAGCCTCTGCCACGGTAGAGCTGTACCCCGAATGTTTGAGAAAAAAGGAGGAACAAATCAAAGAATGAGTGTTAGTCTTGGAAAGCTTGTAGCGTTTGGTCTTCTGTTCCCAGGAAAGTGGAAAATGCCAAAAGTTCCAGGGCCTGATTTCTTCTTGAGACACTTGCATTTCTCTTTGGTTCTTCACCATAGGTTTTCCGCTTTCCGTTGTTTCTGTAACAGCCAATTTAAAGAGCTGACACACTCGGTATCTGGCCTCCCCCCATGAAAGTGAGGCTCCTGTCAAGCAGGAGCCCAGGTTCCACAAGGTGCACAAAGTGAGGCGGGACTGGGCTGGTGGCCGCAGTCCAGGGGGCGGGGCGCAGAGGGTGACAGGGACCTGCGGCCCACGGCCTGGCTCTCCGCTGGTAGGACAGGTTTTCGCCTGTGATCGAAGGAAGCACATTCCAAAAGCATTGTGCTTCTTTCATTTTAACCACACCGTTGTGTTTCTTTTGAAATTCCAAGTGGCACTTGAAGGAGGACAGGAGATTTTTGTGTTCCTCGAAAGGGAATCATGGAGTGGCAAGTGGCACTGCTCTCTGCCTTTCTCGTCACGCCTGGCAGACTTCAGGGGAACTTTTCTTGAGCCATTACTTACAACTGCTTGAATACTTTATGGTTATTTCGTCCAGATAAAAAGGAAATAGTAATTGCCTGTTTTACCAAGATGCCATGCAAATTAACCAAAGTGTGAAAGTACACATCCCCATTAGTAATATATGCCCACAGCTTTTAATTCTTAATAACACATTTTTCAAAGCCAGCAATAAATATAAATATGTGAAAATTTCATGCCTTTTGTAGTTTGATTCATTAAATGCCTATTATTTCTGCATTTTTAAATGACATTAGGCAGACTGGCAAAAGATGAGTTAGCACAAATATAATGACGTTCATCCCTATGCCTCATAGAAATAGTGGGTAAGATCTGGGGCAAGCCTTGAGCCCCGGGAGCGGAGGCCTCCTCCAGCGCCCAGGAGGGGCGGTGCTGCCTGCCGGACAGAGCTGCAGGAGGACCCAGCAGGAGGCACACCCGCTTGCCTGGAGGACCACAGGCAGGACAGGCACGGGGGACATTCTGGGCGCAGCTCCTCTCCAGCCCGGGGTCGCCCTGTAAATGAGCTGCACCAGGTCAGCGTCCGGAGGGGCTGGCGCAGGCCACACACCGCTCCGGCTTTCTCACCTCCGTCCAGGCAGGCCACACACCGCTCTGGCTTTCTCACCTCCGTCCAGAAGGGACGGACGTTTGCAGGATTGCATCTTGTTTGCTTTTTTAGTAAGCTTTCTTATTTTCATTTGTAGAATTTCAGAGAATGCAGTTCTGTATGGGAAAGGGTAGCATTCACACAAGAGACATAGTGGTTGGGCCACCCTCCCGCATTCCCAAGCCCTGGAGGTGTTTCTGTTGCTTGCACATTGTTTGTCCTTACATCCAGGGATGTTTTCTTTCCACTCAGTCCACTTTCTTTGCGTCTCAGCCACTGCGTTCCTTGCACGGCAACACTGAGGTCTATGGTAGTGACAGCTCCAAGTCATCCAGTCCCATGGTCGGCTTAGAGCATGAGAAGCCCCCTGAGTTCATTGGGCTGGTTTAAAACGTGAAGGGGGAGGTCGATCAGACTTTAGTTACTGTTGTTTACTGTAAACAACACTAGTGCAAATTCCTGTAAGCCAAAGAAAGGTGATGGTACTTCCATTCTTGAGAAAAAGGTGATCTTCACAGTCACTTTCCTCTGTGTGCTTGCTCATGCTTCCTCCCTCCGGAGAGTTCCCTTCCCCACCCCCAGGCCTGGCTCCTCCTGCCCCATCCGCCCTCACCTTCTCAGATATTATTAAAGGTCTCCTCTAATACGGAGCTTTTTCTAAATCTCCCCAAGTCGGGTTGGCCCTTTTCTCCCCAGGGCTCCACTGTCTGGTCCCTGTGTCCTTAATTCTGTCACAACACCGTTACTGCTTCTTTGACCACCTTTATCTGTGTGCTGCCTCTCTTTTTGCTGAAATTTGAATAAGCACACTGAGGGCAGGAACCCCATCCTGGCGGGCTGGGTGTGCGGCTTGGGTCATATGAGCAGCTTAGTGGGTGTTGGACGAATGAACAACACGCTCATCCACATGTGTCAGGTCACCAGCAAGACACCTACCTACTGTCCTTCCCAGCACGCCGCTTCCTTACGCACACACACTGAGCCACGGAGAGGCTCCTCGGTGACCTGGGAACGGGAGTAATAAATAGTGACCACTGGCTGCATGTGGGCGATGCTCAGTCTTCTCTGCAACACCCCTGTAGGCGTGTAAACAAGGAACCCTGCAGAACGCTGGCTTGCCGGCGACAGACTGGATGGCCACTCTGACCGCCTGTCGTGGATGGAAGACGAGAATGTGCAGTCTGAGCCCTGACTATAGTTTAGTGTTGTACTTTCTTTGTAGTTCGTGGTCTAAATTGTTAGAAAAAAGTTCCATATGTGTACATATGAGAAACATATTTTTGAGACACCTTGCCAAGAATCTATAAAATGTGTCCTTCCTCTTTGAGGTATGTCACAGCTGCGAGGGCCGCTGTGACAAAGCACCGTGACTGGGCAGCTGCGAGTCGCAGTGCCAAAGCCTAAGGCATCGACTGGGCTGGTTTCTCCGGAGCCCTCTCTCCTTGGCCCGTGGACAGCTGTCTTCTCTCTGTGTCTTTGCACCACCCTCCCTCTGTCCAGTTCTGTGTCCAGGCTTCCCCTTCTAAAAAGAACACCAGAAATGCTGGGTTAGGGCCTGCTCTAATGAATTCATTTGAACTTAATTACCTCTGTAAAGACTTCCACTCCAAATACAGTCATATTCTGAGGTACTTGGGGGTTAGAGCTTCAACATAGATATCGGGGGTCCGGGGCGGGGGGGGGCAGGATGCAATTCCGCCCTAACTGCAGATTTTAACTATGTCATGTATTTATGTAGGACTGTCTGTTGACAAAAGATACATGAAGTGTGATGTGTAAGGTCGTAGATACCGTACGACACTTGTGTGTCAGACACACAGGAAGTCACAGCTCTTGCAGGGCTGGGGAGCCTGGGTGTGGCTACTTCTCCAAGTCATCGAAAGACTTCACCCTCCTTCTATGAAATGTAGTCCCACATTTAATGGATAAAAATGTATAATGCTACAGAAATTGGAGGAATGTTGAACAAAGTTTAGAGTTAAAAAGTTTTCCTAAAAGTTGTCTATAATATCTTTAAAGTTTGAGAAAGTTCCCAGAAAGCCACATCAGATCTTTCATAGCTGTGGTCCAGGGCAACTTGTGTTTTGAGTCATTGGCTTCTGTAATTGATTTCTGTAGTTGGTAAACCAAAGGCTCTGGAAGGAGAAGTACAAATTTGTACTTTGAAAAAGGATTTTTCATTAAAATATGGCTCATCTACACATAGAACTACTTAACTTGTTTCTACCATAACTAAGTTATGAGAAATGAATTTCACACAAAGTTTAGCAATTCCTTATTTAAAATTTTCCTCTACAAATATTTAAAGATTATTTATGTTTTGTTTTCTTCTCTCCTTTGAACATCCAGCTCATGGTTTTTGGCATCTTTCTGTGCCTGGATGCATTTCTGTATGTGTTCACCCTGCTTCCTTTGAGAGTCTTCCTGGCTCTATTCAGGCTCTTCACTCTGCCTTGCTATGGCTTAAGGTAAGTGTAAGATCACTACTTTAAGTGTTTGTTACTTTTACTATTTACAGCTGTTAAACTAAATAATCACATGGATAGGTTTTGCAGAATAAGGATAATTCATTTGCTTTTTCACACTTTGGTCTTTAATGAATAAACAAATGCTGTTTGTCTTTCTAATGCATAATGTATGTTTGTTTAATACTTGTACTTTGTATACCACACTTATGTTCTGAATGATTTTGAACCAGAGCAGCAGGAGGCTGTGCGTGGGGACCACGGAAGGGCCTTCGGCCTGAGAGTCGGGGCCTCGCTGCCTCTGTGCTGCCTCGCCCGGCACCCTTAACGGGCCACCTGGGCACCGTCTGTGAAGTGAGGCCTGGGTTCTAGGCGAGGAGGTGGGGGCAGTGGAATCAGAGTCTCCTAAGGAGCCATTACTGCAGGGATTCGTCCTCCATCCTTTTGAGAGTCACTGCCTTAGTGGCCTGGGGAGCCTTACTTAGCGGCTGATTACAGGTGAGACTTCCTCTGATTTGTGAGAGGGGACACCTCCTGAAGACTCTTGTCCAAGTGGGAAGCATCAGACAGCGCGACAACATTGATTGGCTGGTGGCTTGGGGGCAACTACTTGACTTGGCTAGGCCTATTTCCACAGCAGTATAAAGGGGGCGTTGGGGGCCCGGCATCTTTTACCACAGCGGCTGGGAGGCGTTAGAAAGAACCCCCCACCCAGTGGCTGGCTCACAGTAGACCGGAACAAATAGTAATTTCCTTCCCTTTCTTCTCTACCAAAATTGGGAACAAGACGGTGAAAAGATGAAGCTTGATGTGAATCATGATGCTTTACTGGGCCTGAGGTTAGAAGGTGCTGGGTTAGACAGTTCTCTTTCTTTGTGTGGCTGCGTCAGCACGTCTCCGCTCTGCACGGTCACTCCCCGTGACAGGCTCCTGCAGTTCTTGGCATCGTTGCCCAAGTTACATTCCTAACACACATCACTTTTCTAATACATTGCAGTCTAAGAAAGCTTTGAAATACGGAAATGGACAATATGTACAATTTCATTTCACTCTAAAGTAGGTGGCTATTCTGTGATATATAAAAATATACTTAGTAAAGTTCTTATCAATAACTTAACCATAGAAACTGAGTTACAAAGTCATTGGTCAAGATACAGAATTATATGTTGATGTTTTTTGAAAACTAAAGTCATGGAAGATTCTCTTTTAAAGTAGTAAAAGAGCATATACATACTATTTAGTAAGCACTGAATAACATATAGTTCCTTTAAAAATGAACCTTACTTGGTCTTAGTAAGGAAGAAATTCTTCAAATATATATAGAAGAATTTATCGATCATGATTATATTGTGAGAAGAGTAAAAAATTTTTGCAAGATTATGCAGAGTAAAACAATGATAAGAATTAATATATTATTGCTGTGTGTGATACTTTTCATTTTTTAATCTTACTTTCCTTCCAGAATGAGAGAATTGTTACGTATTTTGTTAATTATGTGTTAATCAGATGTGAGAATCTTTTTAGGAATTTACCATCAACATTAAGGTATCAAATACATCCTTTATACCTTTGGGAGAATTTTTAAGAAGCTTTATTCCTATTGATAAGCCTCTTTTTAAGACCCTTGCAGCGTGTACTTTAATATTAACAGAGCCTAACCCCCTGTGCTCTTTTCTTGTATCGCTGTTGGGAGCTCAGTAACATCAGGGCCGCTTCAGTTACCTTTTCAGAAAACCACCAAAAAAAGCTAGTAAGACATTATTACATACAAATCTTCATGTGTAATTACATCACAAGGACATGTGGGTAAAGCCAGGTGAAGCTGCCTGACATAAAATAATGCCATGCAGGGATTTTCACATCTGTATGATGAGTTAGATTACTTCGTAGTTATTCTCTGATCAACAGTATGAGGCAAATTTGTGTTCTAGCCATATTTAAGTGAGCAGTTTTTAAAGAAACATGTCCTGTGTGGCCGACGGCGTGAGGAGGTAAAATGTGAAGGATGTTTTTACCCTCAGGCCCCCTCCCTCCGGGTTCTTCCTCGGGTCTGGGGCACACAGTGCAGCCCTCTGACAGCGGGGGTTTCCGCAAGGGCCTCTTTCTTAAGGCTCTTGTTTGAAGACCCCTTTTGTGGTACAGGCATCTAAACTGGGTCATCTCTGTGTGTCCTTTGTCACCTGGGGAAGCAGGGCACCAAAGTAGCATTCGAGAAGTCTTTCAGAGTTAGTCCTGAAAGCTGGGAGAGGTTTTGCCGGGAGCCGGGAGTCTTCAGTCCTCGCTCCCGCTGGTGTCGTCGTGAGAGGCGTCGTCGTGAGAGGCGGGTGGTCTCTGGGCCAGCCTTTCCTGTGTGTTTTAACAAAGACTCAGCATGTAAAGCACGGACGATTGGCGTTGTGTGTCAGGCTGTACTTCGCAATCTAAGTTTTAATTTCAGTAACATTTAAAAACAAAATTTAAGTGTCCTATTTTCAGGGCTTTGTAGCTAACATGACACTAGAGGGCAGTGTGTTACACCCTACACTTAGGACTCCAGGAAGTTCCCTGGGTAGACAGCCTTCACTCTGCAATTTGAATCAACTGAAAAATTACATTTTATGACATCACAACTAAATATGTGCTATATATAAAATGTGAAGTGCAGCTAAAATTGTGCAACAGAACTTCAGCAGTTTTAAATACCCTGAATGTAGGCCAGATTATACAGTACTAGCCTGCTTTAGCCTTCATGTGCTTTATCACAGTTGGGTGATTTGGGTTGTAATTTATGTTTTCTTTGGGCAATTTAGAAAACAATGTCTTTTTGAAATTTTTTTATAAGCACCAAATTTGAAATATTTGAAACTTAAATTGTAATGTGAAAATTATATTAACAAAGCTATTGTTGATATTGCCTAAGAGCTTTCAAATATTATAGGAGTATAAACATACATTTTACTTTTGCAGAATTTTATTATTATTCAGAAATAGCCAGAGTCTGCCTTCTTACAGCGTTTCTTCCAACATTCCCCGCTCCCTTTAAAGCGCATCAGGTGCATCCTGCCTGTAGCTGCCTCGCGTTCTGTCTTCCTCAGCCAGCAAAAAGTGCTCTTCCCTTCGGTCTAACTGAATTTTTTCCGAAGGGATAAGAAGGAATTAAAGAAATCAGCAATGGAGTTGATTATATCGTACCTGTTTTCTTTTCCTCTCTCTTCTATTTCAGGTTTCTTCCTGCTAAAAAAATAAATAAATAAAAGTTACTCTTATCCTAGTCTCTTAGTTCTTGAAATTATTCCCCGAAGAGGGGGTAAAGGGGAGATTAGTCCAAGTAATCCAGATGCAGATGTGAAAACAGTAACTCCTTGTGGTCCAGCACTATTTGTTTCAATATCACATCTACAGTGGAATAACATTATGGACGCCTTTTCGTATTTGAGATTAGTGTGTTCGCATCGTCTCCTTGCAGAATTCTACCTGGTACAGCACTTGTGAGAGGCTTTTGAAAGTTGACAGCCTCCCATATTTTCTGCTTTAGAATTCATTCTTTGAACCCATATCTAAATCTTCTGCAAACTCGCTGTGGGTTTTGGGTTTCTGCTTGTGTGTACGGCAAGGACTCGCTGCCCCACCTTAAAGCTGAGAGCCAGCGCCCAGGGGCCAGAGCAGTTCTGCAGCCCCTCGGGGACACCCCGCCATCACCGGGAGTGCTCTGGGGGGCATTCGTCAGGCTTTGCCCGTTAAAGTGTTGTTCACTTAAGGTATCGGCAGGGTCATCAGCTTCACTCGGCGGTTCTGTGTGTTGTCTGCGAAGGATGCTTGCTTTCGTAAAACGTTTACATCTCTCCTCAGTATTCTCAAGAACACCGCGGTGAAAACTATTCCTACGGAATGAACAATCTTGAAAATTCTTTGCTCCCAAATGTTTTATTATAGACTAAAATAAAGAAGCAGGCCCAGATTCTTTCAAAGCAGATTCAAGTAGGTATTTCTTCCCTCTTTCCCAGATAGAGTAGTATCTTTTTAGAAAAACATTCCAGGTACTTCTTCGATTAGGATAATTTTTTAAATGATGGGACATGAAAATCAGAATTAAGTTTTGATTCATTATCTGAGGTATCCATGTTTCTTAGAAGAATAAAAGTATGTTGTTATACTAAGGGAGGTATCAAGCCTAATTTTTCCAAATTTACTTACAGAATAAAGAAGAACCAATTTTATAGATGTTTTTAATTTGCCTGGCATTTTTGTGACTCCTCTTTCCTCCTGAAACTTGTGACTCCATTTTGTGTGTTGGATTTCTCAGTCACATTTGAGTTAAAAATTGGGGGCAATTATAGAGAAAAATGATACTATCTGGTGCCAACATCCAATAGTTATTTTTGAAAACTTTTCAGAAGGTACTAAGTGTAGAATAGATTTAAGTAATACATACTAGAGTATTTTTCTTTTACTCTAGAGCAAATAAAATATGTGCAAGCAGATTTTCTGATCTCACTCCAGCGTTCAGCATAACTCTTATTTGAACTTTTGGACTTCTTTTTTTTAAGGGGCTATAGTGTCTTTTTCTCTTGAGTGTTAACCTCATAGAAAAACTCCTGTCTCCCAGAAGTTAAAAATTTAAAATGCTTGAGAGTTTCCTAACCCACTGGATTTCCTCTGTGTGCCTTACTTCCTCCAAGATAGTTCTACCTAAAATTAACTTGACACACACACGATAGATTTTTCTCATTTTAGACACGTGCCTTAATTCTGGCCTAAGTGGTTAACACCACCCCTGTAGCACATGTAGGGAGAGCTCCTGGTAACTCTCTCTGGAGAAACAAGTATGTCTGTTATTTCCTCTCCCCAGGGCTGACCACATGGCTGATGTGTAGAGAGCAGTGTATCTGTTTTATGAGAGAGTCTTCATAACATCAGGTGGTGGTGTCCCTTGTTTCCTCACATGACACTCTAAGTAGCGTAGCAACATGACAACCTTCTCTCTTTCTTTCTCTCTCGTAAATCAGACCGAAGGGAGGAGCCCTTTCACTTTGTAGACTGGCGTGTGGTGTCACAGGGACGCCTTGTGGTGAGTAAACCCTGATTTTTCCTTCTGTTTTCTTGGCCAGATTGACGTCAGTTCAAACAAATATTAACTATAATGGGAAAAAAAAAACCCAGCATAGGTGGACATAACCACTTGGGAGTAGACACGTACTGCAGAAAATGTGGCTCCCTAGCCTTACCTGCTTGTAAAGCATTGTCCACATTTGCGCAGCATTTGACCATGACCCCACAAACACGGGAAAACCGCTCAGAAAAGTGATCTTTCCTGACTCGTGTTGGGCCAGAGTTGACAGCAAACATCTGTGCTTATACCCACTGCCGCAGCAGTCAGCTGAGCTTAGTGCCTTCCATACAAGCAGTTTTCATTTTCTGTCACTCCAAACACCTGACATGGCTTTATATAAAAGCAGTTATTTTTTTTTTCTAGTATAGTTTGAAATTATTTTAAAGCCCAAGGAAAACTTTAAGCACTTAGTAGTTGTTATTCTACTGTATGTCATGAAAACAAGATTTAAAATTTTTAGTTTTCTAATTAAGGAAAATATCTTAGTCTCAATACTTTATTCCAGTTTAACTTTAAAATTATAAAGGGACTTACCATTCATAAATGAGAACCATGTTTAATATTTTATGTTTTTCATTTCAGGAGGGCTTATATTTCTTTACTCTTTCAATTATATCACAAATAGCTTAAAATGTTTAAGGAGATAGAGAAAGAGAGAAAGGTCCAGCCTATATATTTTATAATCAAGTATCTTGTGATGATACCTTAGCATCTTTCAGCACTGATTTGAAAATTAACTAGGCAGGTGTTACCCCGTTTCTCTTGCTCACTTGTGTTGCCTCCTCTTCCTTCATGATCTTTCTGTCTGTGACCAGTTTTTACTGGTGAGCATATTATCTTCTGCTAAACAGGGGAGGAAAAAGCCTTCCCCTGACACCTTTGTCTGCAATATCATTCTGTTCACGATGTCATTCTGTTCCCATAAATACGTGGGCCTTTGAAACAATGAGAACACTTCAGCTGGTAACTGCAAATCCAGTGGAAGCATTTGCATGAGTAAAAGATAAAATTTAGAAATGTAGGAAATTTGGTTTCGGGAAGAGCAGTTTAACCTGAAAATTTAAATTTAAGTTCTGTCGAATACCTTGTTTAATATTACCTGTGTTATGATAGCTCATAGCCAACCTGTAAATTAGATTAGTGGATTTTTCACTGTGTTCAACAGCTTATTGCACTTGTTTCTGCATCCATATGGGGCTTTCAGCATTTGCAGAATGAATTGCCATTAGCTACTGTTTAACAGTCATTTATAAGGAAGAACTGTGGTCTGAAAATATTGTTCAAAAGCCAGTTTAGAGTTGATTGGCAGGGCTGTGGCTAAGCTTCTCATGGAGCTGGAAATGCTTATCAGAGTGTCATCTAAAAATACCCTGGCAGAGAGAAAGCAGATACTGGGACTGGTTCGAGTTGCTGCAAACCAGGTGAACGATTTTGAGGTTAGGTGTTTTCTTACTCAGACAGGCTATCTGACAAATACTCACGACTTTTAAGATGCTGCCTTACAAACAATTCTTTTATTTTTGCAGCTTTCCTTTTTCATTAACAGCTACATTTATATGAAAACAGGACCTTTTTTCCTTAAGAGTTCTGCTTTTATTTTTTATTTGAATAGTACTCCTTATTTTGAAAATCAGAAGCATTTCTGGAGCAACCAGTTATGGTAGAAGATTTTCACCAGAGCAGCGAGAGCACAGAAAGCAGTGGATCACACCATGGCCTATAGTCCTGTTTTTTCCTTTTTGGAAATAAAGAACAAAGATGATAGATGTATTTGCTTTTTAGCACAGTAGTTTTTCCAGATGAAATGACAATACAGTGATTAGTTATACAGTATTAAGTTATGCTGAGAGATGAAAGGTACCGAGTGGTTGGTTCCTGTAAGTTTAAAATGTCTTTTACAGAACAGCCTGAACTGGTAGACGGTGGTGAGGAGCACGCCTTCCGGAGCCGGGCTGCCCGGCCTGGCCCCCAGCACAGCCCCTAGCAGCGCACGGCTTCCGGCCGCAGGCACGCTCCTGGCTGCCCTCTGCCCCATCTTTCCAGCCGGGGTGGGGGATTCCCCCTCGCAGGGCTGTTGTGAAAACTAGGTGGCTGGGTGCCAGGGGCCTGGGCTGGGTCTGCCATGTCCCAGCTGGATCCCCAGCTGTTTGTACAACCTGCTTTAATCCTAGGCAAAATAAAGCTCATTAAAGATATTTATGCTAAATTTTTAAATTTTAATGTATTATCATGTTGGTTCAAAATGTGGTGGTATTGTGTTATTTGGGGGTATAGATTTCCAATGTTTGGTAGTTCTGATTTCTAGCAATGACTGTATTAATTACAGTAGTTCTTCATAGATACACCAACATATTGGTCCTTTGCTGCAAATGTTTATAAAGAATACAATTAGATGTATGTATTAAATAGCCCTTTATCTCTTAAGTAAAGCTGCTTTCACTAGGATCAGCTTAATTAAATAGTTGCCAATCTAGCCCCAGAAGCTCTAAGTCCAATTTTCTGCTTTGGTTAGTCATCAAAATCATTTTGGTAATTAATGCAGATTCATTAATGCGTCTCTACTTTTTGTTTCTATCATTTTCTTTAATTCATAAAACAGGACCTATGGTTTTTATATACAAAGACCTGTAACTGGGGTGATTTGTGATTTTCAGCATATGCCCAGCTGTGCCCACACTTCTGAGGAAGAGGTGGGCGGTGCAGCCCCACTAGTCCCCTGGCCGGACCAGAGGTGACAGTCACGCAGAGCCCGGGAGCGGTCAGAATGCACCCCCTCCCACCCTTGTCAGATCCGAGATGTTTATCTCCAGCTCTCAACAACTGCGACCCCTCTTCCATTTTTAAGGTCAGGGGGAGGGCAGGTGATTAATCGCCTTGATCATTACATAGCCCTTGGCAGGGATCTGCGTTCCGGCTAGATGTTTGGAAGCAGGAGATGAAGTTCAGTCAGGGTTCCCAGGGAGAACAGGGCGAGAGTCTGCCTGGGAGAGAGAGGAGGAACAGCGTGGGAGAAAAGGGAGCAGACAAACGCTGGCAGAGGTTGCTCAGCTTTGTCCTGGATGCAGTCTTACCCAAAACGTCAGCTGTGAAGAATAACTTCACTCTGTCCCGCCTGTCTCAAGGCGTGTCGTCGGACTTAGGCGAATTCTGACCGCATCTCCCTTTAGGCTCATTGGTTCAGCCCAGTGTCTTCCCATCTACTTCTAGCCCTTCCTGGACATGGTCTTCACAGGATTTGCCCCTTTTCAGGACTTTCTCAGTATCCCACATTCTCTCTGTGGACGGATGAAATGCATTTCTCAGTGAACACCACATGCATGTGCATTGTAGAAAACAAGAGATAGGCTGTGTGCCATCTGCTCCCGAGCCGGCATGGCACACGTCATCGTCATCTTGTAAAACGGTGTTCCAGGTAACCGCTGGAACTCACAGAGTCCTTGTTGAACTTCACAAGGGTTGTCGGAGGAAAAAAAGGCTCTGACCCACACATGGACAGGGTTAGGAAAGTGCTCCAGAGAGTGGGTAGCCAAGGAATACAGCTGTAGTAAGTAGATGGCTCCGCACGTCAGAGGCCCAGCTGGAAAGTAAGCTTACACCTCGGGGTAGGTGTTGTCACGGTGGGTGGGAACGAGGAGATTCTGCAGCTCCTAAGGAAAAGACTGTGTGGCGCTTTTTGTCCGTGGGGCTGTCTGTAAAAGCTGCCCCAACAGGAGATTGAGCATTTTCTGTCTTGAGGACCCAGCCTGCAGTAGACTTAGAGAAAGCTCCTTCCCCATCCTTGTCATGGGAGTTTATACTCAGTGAAATAAACCTTAAACTATTTTTCTAATGTGTATTTTGCTGTGTCTTAGTTTCCACTCACAACTTCAGTTTCGCCCTTCAAGCTCTGACCTCAGAAGTAAGGAATGATTCCTGTTCATATTAATTGGGAAAAAACTTTTCATCTCATGTCCCAGAGGGCTAACTTGTGTAATGTAAAAGCTATTCTACAAACCAGTAAGAAAAAGACACAAGGAGAGAATTCACAGAAAATATAAATAACTTAAATACATTAAGACGATGTCAGTCTCCCAATGAGAGAAATTAACATTGCAAGTATACTGGATACTGTTTTTCACCAGAGGATGGCAAGATCCAGAAGGGGACCAAACACTGAGCCGAGGCCCATGGGCTGCAGGCTCTCTCGTGTGTTTCTAGTTGAAGTCTAAGCTGGTGCAGCCCCTGTGGAGGGCCGGTCACTTCTTCTGTCAAAATGTCTAGTGAACATAACCTTGGAATTCCAATTGGAGGAATTTATTCTGTGAACATACTTTTTTACATATGAAGCATGACATTGCATCGTGGTTTGTAGTTGCAGAAACCTGGAAATCTGTCGATGAAGTGTTAAGTCACTTACGGTACATCCACACACCAGAACATTACACTATTGTGGAAGTATGAGTTCCTTATGAACTGATAGGGGAACTCTGTCACGCCATTAAATAAAAAGTGCCGTGAACGGAACAATGTGCATAGAGTGCGAATGCCGTGTAAAAGGGGCTGACGCAGCAGGCCTCGGGGCCTCGTGGTGAGGTTAGAGGCTGAGGTCGTCATCTTAGAAATGCGTGGCTTTAAAGCTCTCCGTCTGCAGACACCTGCCCACTCTGCTCACTTGTTAAGGTTGCCCACTTCTGATAGTCATTCTGGTTTAACATCTTTATGTTCTATACATGGGCAGAAAATTTCACACTGTTGAGTAGTCGGTTACATGGATAAATTCCTTGTTCATTTGAAGTTAAAAGATGAACCTAATTCTCATTACCATTGTATGCCAGTATATGTCCAGTAAAGATTCTTTATTTCAAGAACATACAAAGTAAAACTCATATTTTTCTTACTTCTTATGTCGTAGGGACAGGCGTTTGCTCCAGCCAGCCCAGGTGTGTGACATTTTGAAGGGTGTCATTTTGGTCATCTGCTATTTCATGATGCACTACGTCGACTACTCCATGATGTACCACCTGATCAGGGGGCAGTCGGTCATCAAGCTCTACATCATCTACAACATGCTCGAGGTGAGGAAGGGCCTTGTTCCCCGCCTGGCCGGTCCGGCCCCGGCCCCGGCCCCGGCCCCGGCCCCGGTAAGGGTGCTTCCAGCCCGCAGGGCCTGTCCGGTCCTTGGCCTCGTGGCAGTGCAGATTCTGATTCCCTAGGTCCGGGCTGGCGCTAGAGAATCTGTCTTTCAAACAAGCTGTGCCTGTGCTGCTGGTCCCGGGGACCTGCAGGGGGCAGATCAGGCAGGCCCTGCTCCCAAGTCAGGACGAAGGACCTGCTGTCTGGACATTTCTGAGTCATCGCCATCTTGAGAATGTAAATTGTCAAATCATGGGAAAATTTATTTTGCATATTCATTGGAAACCCATGCCTAGTTTTTGCTAGAACTTTAAAAATTATGAAGAAAATGTTAGGATTACATATATGCTGGCTGTAATAGATTTACATTTTTAATTGCTGTGAATTTTCAAATAGAGCAGGTAAACTTAAGGTTCCCAATATCTCTAAGTACTTAACATTTTTATACAATATATCTCACTTTATAGTAGTCAGCAGGTGAAAATCTGCATATATACAAAAACTGTTACACAAAGCAAAATAGGCTTTATTTATAGGCAGAATCTTAATATTTGATACATAATAAGTTACCCTACATTATACATTTTTGAGATTCACATTACATTTTTCTGTACGGTGTTTTAGGAATGTAAGTAAGGTCAGCCTGTCTTAACTCAGCCAGAGAGGGGTTTTTCCTAATGGGTGGGCAAGTGGGGCGATGTGGTAGCTGCAGGCCTTTCTGCTTGGGCTGCGTTGCCATGGTCCCTGCGGACTTCCCAGCTCGTCACGGAAGGTGTGGAACTCGAGCCAGCCTGGCTACTCCTAAATTCATTGACCGAGATGATTTCAAACCAGCCCCAGCTTCCTGACTCCAGGCTCAGTGTCCTGTGCCTACTGTGCCCCGTTGATGGGACGCAGGAGGCGGGTGTGAGTCAAGCTCATGAGGCCGAGTGACCACCCTGCTCTCCCCGCGCCCACTCGGAAAGGCAGGCCTGGGCCTCATCTCTCTCCGACAGCCGTGGGAGTGGCTCTTCGTGCCAGGGCCCTGTGGTCTCCCTGACTGCCTGCCTCCCTGGGGACTGCAGATGACAGGGCCTCTGCCTCCCCCTGACTCAATGTGTACGCCACCTGACTCACAAAGTCCTCTTCAAGGGGGCATTCTTACTGTTATTATGAAATAGATCAAAAAGAAGGATCCATGAATTGCTGATCAAAATAGTGTTAATTCTCCTCACTTCATGGACAGCAGTTGATGGCGTGGTCCAGCGTGGTGGACCAGGAGCGCCCAGGCTCTGGTGTAGAGAGACACCGCCTGTGACCCTGGTTCTCCTACACACGGCTGCTGGCTGCCGAGCCCTCTACTCCTCAGTTCTCGTTTGTAAATTGGAAATACAGGGGAATTCTGAGGACTAATAAATAAAACAGCACACAGAAAGGGCAACAGCACACTGCCAGGCATGTGGTAAGGGCTTCCAAGTAGTAGCTCTTGCATTATTCCTTCGTTCAGTAAATATTCGACGGACCCAGTATGCCAAGAACTGGCAGAGACCCCGAAGATCCATAGGTGACAAAGCCCAGTCTCACGGAGCCTGTATCCCTGGTGGGAGACAGAAAATAAACCCAGAGGCCAGGAAGTGCTGGGAAATGACACATGCCAGGATGAAAAGACCAGGGCAGGGCATTAGAGACTGTGGGAGCCACAGGAGATCGGATGGTCTTAGAATGTGACGTTTCAGCTGAATCCCAAATGCTGTGCTGTCTTCTTATGGGTGTGTGCACGCGCTTCATTTCACTTATCACGCTGTATTCATGGAGACCAGCACCTGAAAATGTCTTACGAAGTAAATCGACATACTCTGTGCGGTGAGCCCCGAACAAATTGTAGCTGCCATTGTTTACAAATATCAGGTATGAATAGAAAGGGTCAAATGATGTATTTGTCCTGAAGGATTTAAGTTTGACTCCTGAGCTTGAATTTAGAGGATGTTAAAAGCAGAGGAACTATGATTTTGATGGGTCCTCTCCCTTTTATTTTTGCCAGCATGCACTAAGACTTTTTTTGTCACAAACTCATTCAAAGGACATGAGAAGTGAAGCTCTCACTGTGAGTCAGAGAATAAAGATGCAGCAGCAAATGTGTGAACAAGACCCTACTCTTCGGGAGCTTACCTTCCAGTGGGATTTTTAAAAGTTAATTTTTGTATAAATGCACATCTCTAGTATTTGAGTTGCCTCTGAATTTTAGTAACATGTTTAAATGGAATATTAAGAAACACCTTTACAATAATTTTTCCCTCCAGGTAGCAGATCGTCTGTTTTCATCGTTTGGCCAAGATATATTAGATGCTCTCTACTGGACAGCAACAGAGCCTAAAGAAAGGAAAAGAGCCCACATTGGGGTGATCCCCCACTTTTTCATGGCTGTTCTCTATGTCTGTATCCTTTTAGACGTATCAGAAATTCCAAGAGTTATGTGCAGTCTACATTATTTTGTTTGGTTTGTTTTAAATTAGTTTCTCTAATTTAAAGATGTATGTGTGTGTCCTGAACAGTAATGTGAAATATCTGCTTTCTTTTGAGAAATTAGGTATAATAGTCATTGTAAATTAACTTAAAGAGCCTTATGTATGCGTGTTGCCTTGAACTGCTGAAAAACAGTTCTGGTCTCAGTGTAGCTGATTATGTGGAAGGACTTTTGACTTAAGGTATTATATATATTTTATATTTATGTAGATCTGTGTGACTATACTTGGAATTTTTTTTTTTTTTTTTTTTTTTTTTTTTTTTTTTAGTTAATCTTTATGCCTGTGAATTCTTTGTTACAACCTGGGCTTAAAATGTGTACAGGTCATCTAGAAGTAAAATTTGAAATTGGTGGGAGGAATTTTAGAGGTTTTATTCTCCTCTTACACCCCCACCTTAAAGCTTTTCTTTTGAAGAGTGAAGGCTTTATTATATATTAGCAGTGTGTATGTGTGCCCATTCACATGTATTTACACACACGTGTACCTGCACTGAAGTTCCATGTGAGTCAGAACTCAAATTCACAGGAACATGTCCTATAACTTGTTTATATTCTCTCTGAAACAGTGATACTTGAAAGAATTGGATTGATACTTAGAAAGTTAAAGGACTAAGTGGGAAGGTTTCTATAGAGTAAAAGCTTGTTTCAAGTATAATGGAATAAAAGTCACTGTTCTAATTTAAATAAACTGTTCCATGTGTAATATGAATATAATTCTGGAACCTTAACGATTTCTTCAAAAAAATGACATATGAAGAAAAATCTTAATTATCAGGCAACTCTTACTTTCGTCGGCTCCCCACCCCCTGAAGGACCAGAGGGGCAAATCTCTTCCAGACTTCTGCTATGTGTTTTTCTATTTTAGAATGCAGATCATCTTAATTCAGAACGTATATTGCTAAGCGTCTTCTTTCAGTATTCGCCATAATTTATTCCACTTATTTAACAGAACTGTTAAAGGGCCTGTTTCCCAAGCATTATAGCCAAGGCCAGAGAACCAGAAAGAACCAGGCAGCCGTGGTCCGGGGCCCGCAGGCCACGCGATTGGGCACAGGGGTCTGGTTCTGCTCGGGTGCGTTTCACACGGGTGGCGTTCATCTCCATCCTGTCAGAGCTCGACCCACTAGTGGAAAACTACAAAGGATGAAATACGCACAGCTAGCTATCTTTTCTCCTCATTATTCACTTTGAAAACTGTATAGTGTTTTCTATTCATCTAATATGACAACAGACAGGTTTTTTCCTTGACCTCACTTACTGCTAGTTTTGCATGCAATTCTTATAATGGTTCAAGCAACAACTCTCAATGTAGCGTTTAACTCACACAACAAGTCACTGCTTACTATCATGATGTCTAATAATGTAAGTATGGGATTTTTTACATTTTTGGCACTTTATATGGGCGCTTTAACAGCAATATTCTGAATGGGATCGATTATTTTTTCTAAGTGTTATTTATTCAGGAAGTTTTATATGTATTATGTCCATTTTTAAAACTGTCATAATGATATTTTTTCTTTTTACTTTTCAGTTTGTTGAAATTAAAGGAAGTGTTTTCAAGAAATTTGAAAAGAATAATCTTTTTCAGATGTCAAATAGCGGTACGTACAGTTAGATTCTGCTTGCAGCTTCCTGCAGTATTATTTTGCAATTCATTCTCAAACTCTGATGTCACATTTCCTGTGGTTTACTGTTTCTTTGACTTAAACTGGGCTTTCTCTTACTCCCTTTAACATCTTTACTAAGTTTGCTTATTATTTTGGTTATTGCAATCTCAGGATGTTAAAGATAGTAAAAAATTACAAACATTTATATACGTTCAGAAACTTCTCATGAATCCAGAAATTTGTTTGTAGCAGATGATATTACTGCATTTTTAGATGTGAAAACTAAAACACAGGAAAAGTATTTGACTTTGCCAAGGTCACTAGCTACTAAGAGCAGAATTGTGGCAACTCAGACCCTTCCAAATAAGAGCTGAGGGCCGAGCTGCCCTGCAGAAGGCCGCCCTGCTCCTAACTGGCAGGAGTCTAGGAGTTCAGGCGATACACAAATGGCAGGTGCCAGCGCACTTACGGAGACCCAGGCTTGGCTGTGGAATAAAAGCCCGTTTCACTTGCTGTGGAGTTACAGGGAAAGGTGGGCCTAACCAAAGAGAAGCCAAGACACTTTGAGGAAGGGCTGCAAGGTGGAATAGAAATGCAGAGGTCTGTTGGGGGTCCCACCGCTGGAGGGCAAGGTGGGGCGCAGAAGTGTGAGCTTCTGGAATATTAGAGAAATGACCGTTGCATGTGCACAGGCTGGGGAGGGTTACCACGTGAGTGACCACGCTGGCCTGCGCGCCGCCCCCCGTCTCTGCAGCATGTATAGGGTGTGCCGGGCTCGCTGCCGAAGCCGATTTACCTAATCTTATTTCTTGATTTCCTAGTGTCTTAGGCTGTAATAAGAAAGTAGTTTATAAAGTGACAGGTGTGAACAACTTTTAGCAGGGATTTAGTTATTTGCTTTTATTAAATTCATTTAGGCTAAGATGAGAGTATTTAGTAAGTTATATAAATGTTATTGAAAGCTAACCTAATTTGAGCATTTTCCCCTCTCAGTTCTGCATGTATCCTAAGAAATGCTCTTGTAATACTACTGTTTAGCGAAGGGATTTGTCAGCCAGCACTCGCACACTTCATGTTCACCAGATCGAAAATGCAGCATTCTGCCACGCGGGGGTTTTACATTGCCCTGTCCTGTCTTTCACTTTCTGCTTCTGTTTTTTTTTCCAAATGAAAATAGTTGTCGTATGTCCCCAAAGACCATTGTAGGAATCAGACTCAATATGAGTAGACTGATGGTTTGAATATTTTTTGAGATTTTATAGAAAAGTGGAATGTTCACACTAGAACTATGCTGGTGGAAGAAGTAAATGGCTTATAGGGGTGGCGCCGTTCTGTATATAAAATAGTGTGTTTATTTTACAGACCCTTAACACACACTGTGTTACATTTTCTAAGAGAAAATTATTTTATATGTATACTATGCTATTACCATATTATTTATATGCACTCTGTATCCATGTGTTGAATTTTTTTCAGATATTAAGGAGCGATTTACAAATTATGTGCTTTTGCTAATAGTGTGTCTAAGAAACATGGAACAGTTTTCCTGGAATCCAGGTAAGTAATCTGAAACAACTACAGTGGCTCCTAATTTTACTCTTGGACGTGGAATGGAATGAGTGCTGCAGAAAACGGAAAGCACTTCAGCCGCTCCGCTCCAGGCGTGGGCAGCGCCTGCCTCCGCAGGGTGGGTTGGTGCGGTGGGAAGCCACGGCCTGTGTGACAGCCTCCTGCCCATCGTGCCCGTCACTGCACGTCGTCCCTAAAGCTGTGTTCTCACTGGCAGGGGAAGAGCCCTGCTGAGCCCTGCAGCCTCCAGCCTCTTTATTTTTGCTCACTGTAGTTACGCTGTGGTTATCCAAACACAGTAGGATTCTTTTCATTGTAGGTAGGGGTTCACCAGAACGACTTCTGTTCTTTCCTAACATTAATAAGCATTTCAAATAATGATAAATTAAAAACGTAAATGTAAAGCAATTAATTGTTACTTATATGCACCTCTGAGTTGAGGCTGGTAGGTCGTCAGGATTCCATGAATTTTCCCCACCCATTCATTCAGCACACTCTCACCGAGCGTATGCTGCACGGCACGGGTGAGAGGCCGGGGGGAAGCAGGCAGGCAAGCACAGCACCGCCTGGCAACGATGCAGTGAGCTCGACGGCGGGGGCCGCGGGCTCAGTGGCCTCGAGGAACTTAGAGTTTCTAATGTCTGATGACTTGGTAAACCTTGTTCTTAAGAAATGAAATCATGTTTTGCATTTTATTTATTACCTCCATACTATACCTGGTATAGGCATTTAATAACTTCTTGTTAATTTATTTTGATTCATTGCTAGTTTTCAAGTACCTGTGAAGAGTTAGAAATATATAAAATGAGACCTGTGATCTTGGAAATACATGTCCAGAAGTTATTTTCTTATAGAAACCATAAAATCAGGTCACCTGATTCTCCAAACCTGAGTGTGGTGTCAGACTCACTGAAACTGCCTTGCCCCCTGTCAGCGTGGAGATCCCCGGCCCTGCCACCTCCATCCGCCCCCACTGCCCAGGTCCTTGGCAGCATCTCTGACTTGCTTCTTGCTCTGTCCCATTCCTGAGTCCTTCAAGGTCTTAGGAGTTTATCTGTTTGTAGTTTTTATCAGGCAGTTGGTACTGAATTGACATTTTAATAAATGTGAAGGTGAGCAAATTTGACATTATACCTGAAGACAGTGAAGGAAATAAGGAAATGATTGATCTATATCTTTAAGTCACAGCAGTCAAAGAGGGGAAGTGGTTCAGTTGACTTCAGCACATGTCCCTGTCGCATTGAGACAGTTCTGGAATAAGAAGAGCTTATAACGAGCCTGCTTATTTTGTCAGTCACCCACCAGTGGTCCTGCGATAGCTCCAGGAATAGAGGCAGAGCCACTGCTCACACCGTGTCCCCCTGACGCTGTGCTTGGCACAGAGGAAGTACAGAATAAATACGTTGAATGAGTTATCCTTCAACTTGATAAAATGTGGCTCCTTTGATACTTTATTGAATGCTAGTTCCATCTCTATTATTTATTGAAAACATTACAGTTTTGCCTTGTCAATTTCAGATTTCAGTGTGAGCCTGTGATATTGCGGATTCTGTTTATATTCAGTAATTTAATTGTTCTTTTCCTCTGTACTTTATAGATCATCTCTGGGTGTTATTTCCAGATGTCTGTATGGTGATCGCATCAGAAATTGCTGTGGATATTGTAAAGCATGCTTTCATCACCAAGTTCAATGACATTACTGCAGATGTATGTATTTTCGTAAGCAATTTAGTGTTTGATGTTGACTTCTGCTACTTAATATGATGAAGTTACAGAACAATAAGTTTAGGTTTATTATTGTATTTACGAAGGTAATAGAAGGGTACCACTACTTTAAAGTAAGGATTGTAAGTTAGTTGGTGGAGGTATGGATTGAATGGTAGTTGAGATCAGAGTGTCACTTAACTCAAATCATTATGAACTGTTAATACTGTCATCTATTAAACTTTTAAAAAACACACTGTTTTTATTTAAAGCATTAGGCTGTCAAAACTCAATTTTATGTCTTGCTCAGCATCTATTTTTCTAAGAAGGCATCATTATTATTATAGAGTAAAAATAATTTTCAAACTATTTATGTAATTTAAAATTTCCAAATTATTATATATGAGGTCTGTCCAGAAAAAGTCCAACCATTGTTACTGTAATGAGAACGGTTTGCATGACATCAGTGTAAACTGGCTGCCAAAGAGAGGGAACTGACACAGTGAGGACTTCTCTGTCCGCGTCGGGGGGCGGCGGACTCCCACGAGTGAGCCTGTGTACTCTGAGGCCTTCACATTCAAAGTGACTGAGCACATAGAGGAACAAATCTGCATCAAATTTTGTGTTAAGCTTGAACGTTTCCTCCGTGGAAACTGTTCAGATGATTCAGAAGGCGGCAGCTGTGGGCACCTGGCGATTGGCAGCTTCATCACAACAACACGCCCGCTTCACATCTCATGCAGAGTTTTTTGGTGAACATCAAATAACCCAGGTGACTCAGCCTCCCCACTGCAGCTTAGGTTTTGTGCCCTGTGACTTCTGTCTTTTCCCAAAACTAAAATCACCTGTGAAAGGGAAGCGATTTCAGACCATCAGTGAGATTCAGGGAAATCCAACAGGGCACCTAATGGTGACTGGGAGAAATGGTGTGAAGTCCCAAGGTTTGGAGGGGACTGAGGCATCATTGTCCTATGAACAGTGTTTCTTGTATCTTGTATCTTCTTCATTAAATGTCTCTATATTTCAAACTACATGGCTGGGTACCTTCCGGACAGAACTTGTATGTTAGACCGCTTAAAATAGCCACCATTCCCCCAATTCTAAACTCTCAGGGCTATAATCCCTGAATATTTATCTCTTTGAAAAGAACCCCTCAAAAGATTTGGGAGCGTAACAGCTGGGGGACTGAGGCTGTTTTACTCCTGTGGTAGGAAAACAAGTAGAGAATCACTACCCAGGTATCTGCTTGGCTATTAGGACCTTTTTTCTGCTTAATTTTTAAACATATTCATCTACAAAGTTTAAATTGTCCACATTATATATTTGCACTATTTAATATTGCATTCCTATTTGTCTTTAGGTCTACAGCGAATATAGAGCCAGCCTTGCTTTTGACCTTGTTAGCAGTCGACAGAAAAATGTGAGCATTATATCAAAGACATAATCTGATATTAACTGATGGTGGTTTAATTTAGCAGGAGATACTGACTAAGGGAAAGATACATCAAGTTAGACTTACTACTTACTCCTGTCCTTGACACTAAATTTTTACAAATTAATAGTAATACTAATACGTAAGATAAACAGCATTGTAACAGTTATGCAACTTTTTATTTAATACTTCTTGTGAACATATAGATTTCCAAATTGTTTTTGCTAAATGATGTAATGGGTGCCAGGGGCGCTTCCTCGTAACCTCACCTGTTTAGGAGACATACGGTGCTGAGGGAGCGGGGCTTCCCGCATGTGGCTTAACCCCCACGGCCCTCTCCCCCTGTCTAGGCGTACACTGACTACAGCGATTCCGTGGCCCGGAGAATGGGGTTCATCCCTCTCCCGCTGGCTGTTCTGGTAAGTCCATACTTCCTTCTTTTTTTAAATGATGCTGTGCCCACCGTTATAAAATATTAATAAATAGACTATTAGTAAGTACTTGATATAAAAATGAAAGGTAGATGATTTGGGAGGAAGTTTTGTTATCTTTTGGAATTAGAGCCATCCAGTAAGTCAGTGATATTAAGGAACTGTTTTTGTGTAATGGCTTTTCTAAGAGTGAGAAAACTTCCTTCATTTGGCAAAGGCTTTTTTTAATGGAAATACCTGGTGGTAGGCATGGGCCTGGCCAGTGCAACACATGTTGGTAGGAGTGTAAGCTGATCCAGCATTTTTAAGGGGCAGTTTGACAGTTTTATGGAGTAATTCCAGTTCTGGGAATTTGTTCTAAGGAAATAGTTGTGAAAGGCACATAATGATTTATAGGCAAGGTTATATGTTACAGTGGCATTTATAGGAAAAATTTGGAAATGAATGAAGTAGATTAAATTATGGTATGCTCAAATGCAGAAACATTCTGTATTCATTTTCCAGAGTTTTTACAATGATAATTTCTACTCTTATAATCAGGAATTATATATATTTTTAAATAGTAGCACTGAAATTTACTTAATCAACTTTAAAAAATCATCAAGTTTATATCTTAATGAATTGCTCAAAACAGCCTTGTAAATAGTTGCTGGCCACCTCAGGCTCTAATAATATTCGTTAAGAAGGTTGGCTGGCTGTGCTTGTATTTGATTATATTCCTTATTAGCTACCTGTTCTCACATCAAAGCACACGCAACCATCTTTTCCCCAGAGGTCATCTGGAGCTCTTGCTTCCTGGAGAGTCTCGCAGAATCACCTAAGAGATGGATCAGGAAGGTGTAGGTAGTAACACCTGTGTTTTAGACCAGCGTGCCTGACTTTAGAGGGCCAATGACTAATAGATGTAATGTTATTTAAATTTCAGGGCAGCTCTCCAGATAACCGCATCCTAGATGTTTTCAGTTATTTTAGTAGTTTATTACAGAATAATACAGTTTCCTTTTTCTTAGGAAACAGAACTAAAATTTTGGAAAAATGGAGGATTTTAAAGAGTAAAATAATTATTTGTTAAACACTTAAAAGATTAATAAAACAGAATATTAATTTTTTCTGTGTTTTATACAATTAGAAATGTGATACATACAGTGTAAGGATAAACCAGGATAGCCTTGCTGATTTTTGTTTAAAAGGGTCGGTTAGATGATTGTATTTGGGTGTGACCCTGCTTTGCTAAATGATAACTATGTAGTAACATATTTGCCAGAAAACTCTATTCATGATTAGTATGGATTTTTATTTAAGTATTTAAATATTTTTTTGTCTTTAAATGAGTTTTTATGGTTGTTATACCAAAAGATTTAAGCTTACTTAATAATTGGCAAAATACTTCTGGAAAACCAGTATTTTCGCAGGGGATCTGTTGTGCTCTGGTGGGTGTGTTTTTGGTTTTGGTTTCGTTTTTTCCCCAGTGCCTTTCTCTAAGACCTCCCACCTTACACTGTGGCATTGGCAGATGTTTAGGACCTTTGAAGAATATACTAAGGCCTCAGGAATCAGTTATTTAATTAAGACCCAAGAGAGGCAATCCTTATTTCTAAAGGTTACCTTAGGTCCTAAAATGAATTTATATCCAAAAAAAGTAAAAGAAATCATGTATTAAGGTCTTGTGGAAATGAGGCTTTGGACATAAGTATCTTAAAGTGACCTAATAATATGCTAGATAAAAAGGAAGTTGTTTAAGCCTCAATGAATGTGATCGTTGGCAAACCTTTCATATTAACAAATAAAGTCCTAGAGACATTAATTTTCATCACAAATTTTTGCACGAAGGTCATTTCCCCATTAGAGGAAATGATGAGGACTCCTGTGTCAGTTTCCTCAAAGTGAAAATTTATTGAACACATGACAACCCATCCCCTCTATTTTGCCCCAATTGCTCTTTTATTGGCAGCATTTTAAAAATACTGTTTCAAGTGTACCTTATGACGTTTATTTAAGACACCAAAATAAATTATTTTATTTGACAAAACGACATTACTAGATAGGGTTAATTACTTTCCCTGATTTTCCATTCCCACTTAGCAGTCCCCTGGACCCTAGTACAGGTCCCCCGCTATCTGAACGCAGAGCCTTGCCATGAGACCGCGCAGAAGCCAAAATGGCGTAAATCGAAGAGGCAGCTGACATTAATTTGTGTGTCCTTATTTTGCTCAGCAAGATCAAAAAGCTTGATTACGGCCAGTTTTACACTTGATACAAACAGCCTTCCCAACTGCCTTAGGCTTCCCTGGTGCCTGAGGACCCCTCTTGCTAACATGTGCAGAATAAATCGAGGTGAAGCCCAGGTGCTCCCGCCCTTCACAGCTGCGGCGGGGCTGAGTGCGGTCCCCTCGCACTGCCTGCGGTGTCCTGCAGCTCGAACCCAGAACGTTATTCTTGCTTTTTATGATAAAGGCAAATTTTTTACTTTTTTCAATTAACAAAAACAGGTACTAATGTAGGTCTTTTGTAACAGCAAAGTGGTGTAAAGTGATCTTTTGAAAAGTGGGGTATACTTGTATATACTTGTTTATAATATGTGGGCATATTATAAAGCCAAAGCTCTAATATTTTCCAGTGGTAGATCCCACTAGATTTATTCAGCAGGTTTCCTGGGGTAATGATTTTACTGCTATATTTATGTGAGATAAAAAAGAAAATAGGCATTTAACCTCAACTAACTAAAAGAGACGGAAATTTTTCAATCTCTATGTGATTGATTTTGTAATAGTATTTAGTTTTTTTTAGTACAAACCTCTTAAGTTTCCCTTTTCTCTCCAATCCCTGCGAGTCCCTTGGTGGGGGGAGGGGTTCTTCAAAAGAATCAAAACAGAGGACCAAAAAAAAAGCAAGAACAATGGAAATGCCCACTAAATGGTTCTAGCTCTGTCAGAGACACATGAAGCATGATGAATTCTTTTGTATTTTCCAGAATAATTTTTATTTTAAAAATCAGCTGATTTGTTTCTCTATTAGGGCCAAGGAAACGTGTCAGTTGTGAACTAGGAGAAATGTCTGACTTCACAGAGTCAAGAGTTGAGCGTAGCATTAGCCACGAGCACCCTAGGTTTGCCCAAACAACCCAAACCTCCCACCAAAGGTTTCACAAGCTGCCACAGTCTGGCATGAACCGACAGATCTAGAACTGCCTGCCTACTTGGAGTTAGAGGTCACAGGTGTGTGCCTAAAGTGTTAAAATCAGCATAATGGCTCTTTATTTAAATATTAACTAATAACTCTGTGGTTGTGTTTTGTTTGTGTGTTTTTGTTGTTTTGGTTTGTTTCTGGCTAGCTCATCAGAGTTGTAACAAGCTCAATTAAAGTGCAAGGAATCCTGTCTTATGCCTGTGTCATACTCTTCTATTTTGGGTAAGATGAACTGTTCTTGAATATGTTTTTGTTATACAGTACAGTATAAATGCAAGATGCAATCAGGTCACTCTATACCCATTCTCCCTGTCCCGGGTCTCCCACGACAGCCTGAACCTCCGCATGTGTCTGTGACTCAGCTAAGCTCTGGTTTAGTTAAATGTGCTGCTATTTGCTAGTAGTATTAACAGCACTTTAGGTTTTATTTTAGTGAAATTATTTACCTAAAGATCTTTTTGTTTAGGGGTTGAGTTTTACCCATATTTTCTTTTATAAAATAAAATCTGCCACTGCATTCAGACATTTCTCTATGGTCAAAAACCTCTTTGACTGTCCACCGTGTTTGCCATGTTAACGATCCAGCACACTCGAGACCTGTGCCTTACAAATCCAAAGAGGACGTGGAAGTGCAGTTTCTCCACCTGTGACCAGCTGACCCTTGATCTGCGCTGGCTCCAGGGGAGCGCCGGGGCTGTGCTCCCCGGGTCCGTCTGTGAGCGGCCAGAGCCGAGCGTCCCAGGAGGAGAACCCTGGGGAGAGAACGGACGCGGCAGGACTAGCTGCAGCCGTTGGGCGCTCGGAATCTTCCCCTGGGCCGAGGTCTGCTTTCCGGAGGCACCCGTGCTGTTCCGTGTCCCACTGAGTGTGCTTCCTGCTCTGCGCGTGGCCTGGCGGCTCCTGTCGCAGGAGCACAGGAACAGGCACTTGTCATCTCCTCATGAGCGTCATGAGTCAAGAACATGCTTCCCAGCACCTCCAGGGCCGCTCGGACCCTGCAGGTAACCTCAGTGGCAGCGAAGCCAGGTTTAATTCTGATCACGTTGCATGGCCACTGACTGTTTTCCAGCGGAATGAACGCATAAATGCTTACTATATTGAAGTAGCCGTTCCAAAAAACCCACGAGATTCTTCCTTTCTGATATAATTGCCCGTATTGCTCATTGTGCCTTGTTCACCGAGTGGTGTTGCTATAACTGCTCCCGTCTTTGGCTAACAAGCTTTTAGCCTAGTGTTTTTCTTTTGACATAAACACATCAGGATATGAACTGTGCACTTGCTATGTCAGAAAACCTTTGTTTAGCTACAGTTGCCCGTGCATAATTCACCGAAGTGGAAGTGCTCGAATCGGAGTTGCTGCGAATTGGCAGCCTCCCCCGCCACCCCGCCCATGTCCCCTCGCCGCCCAGCGTCGTGCCGCTTCGCCCCTCAGCAGCCTGGCTGGCCGCGTCTGCCCACTGGCCGTTCCAGTCTGTTGGCTTACTCTGATTATCCTGGTAACAGGGTAATACCCCAATTATCCTTTCCTCCTTCAGAAACTTCCTCAGAGCCCCCAGTCTGTGGAGGCTGCTCCACTCCCTCACGCCAGCAAGCCCAGGAGTCTCCCTTCAGCAGAAATGAGTCAGAACTCAGTTGGGCCTCCTGACAGAACAGGCTGTGCTCTTTCCCCGTTGCCGCACGCCAGCCTCTTTCAGAGCATTGTCACAGAACTGGGGGCGGGGGGAGGCGTGCGACCTGTCCTCAGAGATCCGTCTGCTCAGTGTCCTCAGTGAGTAGCGCTCCATGCCGGTACTGCTTCCAGCACTGGCCCAGGGGCCAACCAAAAAGAACACAAGTACCTGCCTTCATGTCACTGAAGTTCCAGTGAAGAAACAGGCAACAACCAGAAAGACAAATCACTATAAAGTGACAGTTGGTAACAAGCCTCCGGAAGAAAAACATGGGGTGTCAAAGGACAGAGAGTGACAGAGGTGGCTGCCCAGGAGAGAGCAGCCGGGGTGGCCTCTGTGAGCTGCTCTTCAGTGCAGTCAGATGGATGGAATAGGGGAGGGCATGCAGACTCCTGGGGACAGAGCAGTCTCAGAGGGGACTCAGGACAGGCCGGTGCAGGAACAGCTGGGGCGCAGCAGTGGGAGCGGACCTCGCAGCCTGGGAGGGACCCTGGAAGGTTCTGAGCAGAAGAAAGTGAGATCCCCTTGGCTTCTTGCCGGGGCCTCACGGGTCGCTGTGCAGAGACTGGAGCGAGGCGAGAGGAGGAGCAGGACCCAGGCCAGGCCAGGAGGTCGTCGCCGCCATTGCAGGGCAGGTGACCGTGGCTGGGACTGGAGTGGTGAGAACTTGTCGGCTAGCGGCATGTTGTGGAAGGGGAGCTGGACAGGACCTGCGGATGAGCTGTTTGGGTGTGCGGGTCGGGGAATGAGAGGGGCAAGTGTGGTTCCAGAGCGTGGAGGCCAAGCCGTCAGGGCCCTGGCTTGCCACGTGCTGTCATGGGGAAGCCTGTGACATACAGATACGGTGTTGGTTTGTTTTTTGGAGGGTTGGGGCTGGCCTAGGAAGTTCGGAATCCTAGTAGACACTCCCTAGGCAGTGCCGAGGAAGCTGTGGGAACAGCAGCCCGCTGCTTCACTGGCCGCAGAGCGGGCAGGGAGCGCCCTGGTGCTGGGTCGCTTAAGGGCCCGTTCGTGAGGAGGCTCTAATAGGAAGGGTTTGATTCCCCCCGCCCAGAATTTTTGCCAGATTTGTATCAAATACCTGAAAATGCTACATACCTTTGGTCTAGAAATCCAACTTCTGGCATTATAGCTGTCTAGGAATTTATTTTAAGGAAATACAGATTTAACATAAGCTTGCATAATCAGAAGCTTTTTAATAGAAGAAAAATATTCAAAATTACCTAAATATCCAGAAACCAAGGGCTTTGAGGGGCTTTGTTATGTGATGACCCATATAGTGCAGTAGTGTAAGTCCATTAAAATAGCATCATTGAGGAACATTAGCTGATAGGAAAAAATATTCATCGTATGTTTTTTGTGTAAGACAATAAAGATGGTAATAAAGTAACAAGATCAGTGGACACTTCCGTGCGCTGTTCTGAATCACCCTCACCAGAACCGTCTCCTTTATGGGCTGACTGGTTAAGAACCCCAGGCCCAGGCAGCGTCTCAGCGCCGGGTCAGGGGGTGAACTCAGACACAACCCCCAGGCCCCAGCCCCCTCCTGCCTCATAAGGGAGGCCCCGTGCAGAACAGCAAAGAAGTACCCGTCGCAGCCTGCGCATAGGAAAGCCACCAAAAGATGATGCAGCAGATGTCACGTGGGCTAGCACTGGAGTGTGGAATCACAGGTTATTTTATATGTATATTTTGTCCATCTGCTTTATTAAAAGTATTTATTTTGTGGTAAGAGAAAAATGTTAAATAATTTGGAAGATAAAACTTTTACGTGATATAAGAAAATGTCCAATAGTTAGAAAGCATAACTTTTAAAGGGTATGATTTCTTCTTACAATGAGAAGTAAGGAATTTGTGATAAATTTCCCCCGGAAGAAGCCTCAGGAACTCGGTGTGGGTGTGTCTCAGGCTGGGGCTTTCTGCCTCCAGGGTCCTCTTCTCACCCTGGTAGCAGGTGGTGTTCGCAGTGACGTAGATGAATTCCAACAGTGGTCGTTTGTCTCTTTCTGGTTTTAGGTTGATATCCCTGAAAGTACTTAATAGCATTGTGCTATTGGGAAAATCATGCCAATATGTGAAGGGAGCCAAAATGGAAGAGAAGCTGTTCAACCCTCCCCCCACCGGCACTCCCAGCAAACCGTCCAGCAAATCGCAGAGCAGATGTAAACCCTCTCCAGGTGGGTGGACTTCTCTCACGCCTGCACGTCATGTTCTGAAGAGTTTTCGTCTGAGCTCTCCCTCGTGAAAAACTCACTGCTCTGTCCACATTTAGCAACGCCTTCAAGATTTGACTTTACTCTGCCCCGTTGCTGTTGTTAATGGCTCGGTGTGGACCTATCCTAGAGACCCCCCCATGAATGGCTCGGTGTGGACCCATCCCAGAGACCCCCCCATGAATAGCTCGGTGTGGACCTATCCCAGAGACCCCCCCCATGAATGGCTCGGTGTGGACCCATCCCAGAGACACCCCCCATGAATAGCTCGGTGTGGACCCATCCCAGAGACCCTCCCATGAATAGCTTGGTGTGGACCTATCCTAGAGACCCCCCCATGAATGGCTCGGTGTGGACCCATCCCAGAGACCCCCCCATGAATAGCTTGGTGTGGACCTATCCTAGAGACCCCCCCATGAATGGCTCGGTGTGGACCCATCCCAGAGACCCTCCCATGAATAGCTTGGTGTGGACCTATCCTAGAGACCCCCCATGAATGGCTCGGTGTGGACCCATCCCAGAGACCCCCCCCATGAATAGCTTGGTGTGGACCTATCCTAGAGACCCCCCCATGAATGGCTCAGTGTGGACCTATCCCAGAGACCCCCCATGAATGGCTCGGTGTGGACCCATCCCAGAGACCCCCCATGAACGGCTCGGTGTGGACCTATCCCAGAGACCCCCCCCATGAATAGTTCGGTGTGGACCTATCCCAGAGACCCCCCATGAATGATTCGGTGTGGACCTATCCCAGAGACCCCCCTCCCCCATGCAGTGCTCTGCGCCACCACGTCTGTTGGTGGTTCAGTAGATGATCAGCAAGCACCTCCTGCACGGGGGTCTGCAGAGGGAGGAAAGGGCAGCGCGCGCCTAGGTTGTCAGGGAGAGGGAATGAACATGCTGACTGGGTGCTGTAGAGAAAACCAGGGTAGCGCCGGGGGAGGCAGACGCCACCCCCGCAACCGTGAGGAGTCGCCCCTTCCAGGGAGCAGTGTCCAGGCAGAGGGCAGGTGGGCACATACCAAGGCCCGGGGCAGGCCCACGCTTGGCATGTGGGGGGATGTGAAGACCAGGGGGCCGGACTTCCGGGGGCGGGGACTGGAGAAGGGGTCAGAGAGGCTGCGGGGGCCCCAGCCCGCCCAGGGCCCCACGGGCAGTTGTGAGCACCTTGGCCTTCATGCTGTGGGAAGGGGCTGTTGCAGGGTTTGGAGCAGAGGAGGGGTGTGACCCACAGACAGTTTAAAAAGATGATTGTCAGGCTTTGTGAAAAATAGGATGAAGAAGGGTGAGCCCAGAGACCGGGGCCCGGAGGAGGCTGCCTGGCTCAGAGCGGAGGATAGTGGTGTGCGTGGGGAGGCCTGGCCAGATAGACTCTGGAAGGATCTGCAGAGCCCAGGATTTGCTGATGAAGTCGTGCAGTGTGAGGAGGAGACGGGGGTTAAGGATGATCCCAGTGTTCCTGGCCTGAAGGGTTTGGAGGAAAAACAGGGACACTGACTGAATTTTTGTCACTAGATACCAGTTCCCTGTTCCCATGGATGTTACATTCGTATGACTTTTAGTTTAAATGGTTTATTTTTAAATGCACGGAGCCACTGTGTGCCTGGATGATACAAAGATAAAGACATCATTCTTTCAGGGCCGTACAGACGGACGGGGCGACGGCACAGGGGGACAGTGCGAACAAGGGAGCAAGGTTATAGACGGGCATGGATGGAGGGGCCAGGGGAGGGGCCGTCCCTCCCTGGAGGGGCTGCTGCCCAAGCTGAGGCTTGATGGGTGGGAAGAAACGAGCCCGGTGAGGATGGGCGGAGAGGGCGTCGCGAAAGGGCCGGCAGGAGCCAGGTGCCGAGGCCCGAGAGGCATCGGGAGGCGGAGCCGGCCAGGCAGGTCTGAAGGGAGGGCCGCGCTCTTCGCACGTGTGACAGGGAGCTTGTGTAAAGTGTGGCGGAAAGTTGGAGCAGCACTTGAAATAATTTTTCCATTATAAAGAACGTGTAAGCCCTGCTGGTAATGTGAGATTGCATCTGCTCCAACTGACTGGGCAGTTCAAAGTCTGAACAAAGTCGTGTGTCTCCTGTTGTGCTAGGCCCCTTCAGCCATAAGAAGTCAGTGTCGGTCTTGCTTTAAAGGAGCCTCCCCGCCGATGCGGAGGTAAACCCTGAGGCACACGTCGCAGGTCAGGGCCCTGGGTCCAGGACCACGTGCAAGAAGGGAATTTCGGAGGAGTTGTCAGAGTGTGGGGTCAGGAGACCACAGGCCGGAGGAGCGCATTTGGGAAGGTGTTGCAAGTCAGGCAGTGCAGATCCCATTCAAGGATGAAAAGAGGGTCCAGCTCCCAGGGCGGCGTGGTGCTTGTGTTTTAAAAGAAGCAGAAGCTGGCAGCCGGGTCGGGGAGCAGAGAGGGCAGGAAGGAGGGAGCGCCCAGAGACAGGTGAGCCGGACTGTGGCGCCCCGGGGTGGGGGAGCTGCTGCGTGGCACACCCGGCACTCGGCAGGGCACTCATCTGCGGCTGCTTTACCTCGTGAGGCTGCTCCAAGGGCCAAATGAACCCGTCAGGCTGGTGGCTGGCCCCAGCCTAGGGGCCTCCCAGCTGGGCTCCGGGGCCCCTGAGGACCCAGATAAACCTGTGGGGCTTTGTTCATTGGTTTGTTTTTACTCAGATGTGGTTTCCCTTCAGGTGGAGTGCTGGGTCTAGCAGAGTGGCGCGCATGGGAGGCAGAGCGTGGGAGAGTCTGCACAGCCCTGGCGCGGCTAGAGGAGCTGATGTCTGTACAGCAGTTAGCGAGGACTTGCTTGTAGGAGGGAGTTTCTTACGTGGCATTTCTGATCTTTCCAAAGTCAGGTAGTGGGCTTATTTGTGTGAAATGACCCATTTCGCAGCCCTCTATAAAACTTTGGGTTAGCCAACAGATGGCGCAGGCCTCTGCCTGTCATTATCTAAGTGATGGCTGCGCGTACAACATGCTGTTTGGTTATCATTCACACTTTCTTTCAGGACCACTTTGCTGGTAAGCTCACAGTCGTTATGAGTTTGGGGGCAGCCCTCTCCTAATTCACCGGTCTCTTTTTCCACAGAAGAAAACCTCTCTGCCTCGGTCACCAGCCAGCCCAGCCATCAAAAGGAAAATGTCGTGCCGTTACTCGTGACAAGCAATTCTGACCAGTTCCTGACAACTCCAGATGGTGACGAGAAGGACATTACACAGGAAAACTCTGAACTGAAACACAGGTCCTCCAAGAAAGATTTGTTGGACATAGACAGGTTCACAATTTGTGGAAACCGAATTGACTGAATTCTGCGGCTCCGCGTGCCGAGTGCCGAGTCCCGGGGCAGCCACGCCATGCTACCGGGATGGACAGAGGCAGAAAAGTGGCACTTAAATATTTATTTAAAAACTTAAATTATTAATGGAAAACAAATCTTAGTATCTTTCTTCCAGTGATGTGGTCTGGTTGAAGGCCAGGTCACGGAACAGCAGCGACCTCCAGCCTTGACCTTTTGAGGACCGCCCCCCTGCTTGGAGACGCAGCAGGGTCACTTGCAGGGTCACTTCGGGCCGATGGGAACAACCTCAGAATCACTTGCCCTGTCGATCTGTGCTTCCAGGACGCCCAGGTTGGCCTCGGGGTCTCTTCAGTGTGAGGACACACACCTAGGGACCCGGGAGACTGAGCAGCTTTCACCGCGACGTTACCTGTCCACATCATAGCATTTTCACGAACAGTTTTCCAACTCTACTTCATCTGCCAAAGCAGTTAAAAAAAAATAATTGAACTTCAGTCAAGATAAATGTCCTCGCCACAGAATTATCCTTGAAGATGTATCTGAATTAATCAGAATAAAAGGCTACCTTAAATAAGACATGATGAATAATAGCATTTTATAGGGGGAAAAAAAGCCCTAAGCCAGTTGTCTATTTGAAAAATATGAATTAATGAAGGTTATGCATCACTGAGGAAATGTTTCATAATTTTTCAGTTTAACGCAAAATGTGAGCTTTGTATTGTTTAATTGCAGTGGATGAAATAGAAATTACCTTACAAAAAGGTACTTTTTATACTGAAAAAGCAGAGCAGTGTTAACTTTAATGTATAGCTACCTGGTCTCACTCTAAAACTAATTGCTTCATTGATTGTTACCGTTAAAAGGATTTGCTGCAGAACTATCCATGTACAAAAATCAAAGTCGTCATCGTTCCTTGAGTTTTCTGAGCAGCAGTTTTAAAGTAAATAGTGAAGCAGGCTGAGCAGCCTCATCTCGCTTGGGCTCTCCCAGGGCGTCAGTCCCTCTGTGCCGAGTGGCCGTTCTGTGGGACAGTGTCTGTGTGGGGAGTGGGGCTGCTGGGTGCGCCTGTGCGGGGGGCGGGGCGCACTCGTGCTGGAGACAGGAAATGGGGTGTTTGGGGGTGTGGCTGGCTGCCTGGGTGTGGGGAGGCGCTTGTGCCTGGATGTTGGGAACAGCAACCAAGAGGTGCTCTTTGGTTTTGCTCGAGGTCAGGATCCCATTTCTGCTTACTTCCTAGTTTGTGGCCTGCATCGTAAGACAAGCTCTTTTCCACCACATTTTATCTTGAGAAGCCTTTCCTGCATTGTTATAAATGTTTTACAGCATCTAATGTCAATGTCTCCGGATGTCACCGTTAACTGTTGTTTCCTGTAGCATTTTCATCTTGAAGTTCAGCTCCTGTGCCGCTATTTCAGGCACATGATGTGCAGGGATAAATTTTAGGTGATTTGTCTGTTTCCTGGGTGAAACGTAAAGCAAGCTTGAACAAAGCTTTGGCTTGTTTATCTGACATACAAAAGTGATTTTTAACCTTCTGCATTAACTAAAGAAATCTGAAGATTAATGTTCACATAGGGTAAAAGGAAACAGTACAGGAATTCTTTTGTTGACCATGAAAAGTTAAAAGTATCAAGTTAAAACTGAAAAGACTATTAATTGCTTTGTCTATGTTTTAATAAAGCCCCAGTTGAGGATTTTTTTTTTTCATCCTTTCCACTGAAAGTGTCCACGGTGAATAGAAACAGTTTGGGGGGAAACTTTGCCAAACATAGCCCTAAGCAGAGCAAAAATGTGACGGTGGTACAGCCTTCAGTTCAGCTTGAATTACTCTGTCACTGTGCTGTCAATTTCACAAGATTTTACTTCCCTTTGCAGAATATATTGGGAGAGTTTGGAACGATGTTCATTTCTTCTGTCAAAATGGCATTCAGTACTAATTTTATAAGTGCATCTTGTGTGAAACTCAATAAATTCAATTTTGTAATCTTTTTTAAAAAGGTCACTGAATTTATTTTGATGGCGTTTACTGTTATATTTCATAGAGTGTATTTCCCATTCTATTAGGAATTTATTTCTAATTTACAAGGGACGGGACTGTCAAATTTGAATTATTATTTTGGTCTTAATGGTGACAAAAATGCTTGGTTTTTGTCTTTAAAAGAAAAAGGCTGGGCCATGACCATCGGCCATTTAATATCTGTTAAATGCATTTTGCAAGTGTTCTGAATGTCACACAATACGCTTTTCACATCTGGGAGTCAAGTTCAAGGCATTACTTTGGTTTTAAAAGTTTAAGGCACAACATAGGTCAGTCTCTCACTGGCTTTGCCTCTGGAACTGAGGTGTAAACGCTCAGGGTGACTGAGGAGCTCGTCCTTCTTGCTTTGGTATTTCGGCTAACCCAGAGACTTCGTACTCTTCATACACGCCCACGAAAGAAACTTGTTAAAATAGATCCTTGGAAACTTTCCTTCTGCTCTTGGTGACTCAGCAGAGGAGGACACACGTTCACAAGGTAATTTAAAATCTCTACATGATACCTCCCAGTTTACTCTTTCAACAGAGATGTATTCATCGCCTGTGTGTCAGGAACTATTGCGGACACTGGGGTCGGCAATGAACACAGTCCCTGCTCTTCTGGGGGCGACCCGTAGCAAGCGCTCAGTGAGCTAACGCGTGCAGGAGACACCGCTGAAGGCCAAATGACCTCCGGTTTATTTCAGTTCTGAAACCCAGTTCTTTAATATATTTTTATGTAAGTCTGGCTCTTTTCCTATCGAATTTGCTAAACATCAGGTAATTGTTTAGCAGTTTCAAGTAGTTCTACCAAGTACAAACAAACAATTGCCCTTTCACTAGAGACACGAGTTGTCCATACAGACACAGAGTTACAGCTGGGCACCAAGTGGCCAAGCTGGGGACCACATTCCCGCATCTGCCTCGCTGCTCCATGTGGCAGCTGCTGTATTTGGTCTTAATGGTGAAGACCGATGTGGCAGGGGACTGATTCTCACCAAGGGCTGGAAGTTGAAGGGGTGTATGCCATGGCGGGTCCCCTCCTCCTCTCTGCGTCCCAGCAGCTGGGACGCAGAGAAGGTGTGCCTCGTGGCAGCCGTGCAGTAAAAGCTCAGCATGCGTAGGATGCAGGAAGGAACCTGGGTCCCTGAAGGCCCCTGCGGAGCGGAGGTGCCTGTCAGCTGGGGGCACTCAGCGTTGCCTAAACACGAGAGTGAAATAAATGCCTTTGTTTCTACACTTCTGAACGCGGAGGGTCCATGACATCCTCATCCACACACTAGGGAATCTGAAAGGGCCTATTTAGAGATCGTTACATAAGTGAGGTGTTAGGCCTGACTCGCTAAAACATAGGCCTCTGAAAATACTCTTGGGTTCACATTTACTACATATTCTTAGGGGAAAAGATAGATTCCTATGCCCCGTTTACTCAGCGGACATGCTCCCAGTGCCCTAGGCCATCTTGAACCAAACATTAGACTTGTTCCTAAGTGGCAAAGTCCTGTTTGATCGGATACTCTGCCAAACGACTGTGCCCTGCCCCTTGTCTCTCAGGAAAGTTGTGTGCACAGTAACGGAGTACATGAGTGGAGCCTACCAGCACGGGGAAGTGGAAGCAAAAGGAGTTACTACGTATGTCAAAAAGGCAGCAAAAATGTCATCCAGGGGCAGACTGAGGCAATAGTCATATAAGTAACTGCTGAAAATATCTCTAGCTCTGGCTCAGTGTGCCATGTGGCATCATAAGTGTCGGAGACATCTAGGATGGTTTAGATGATGTTTAATTTGATGAAAGGGAAATGTGTACAATTGAGAGGGGAAGTCATTAGAGACATTGGCGTTCTAAGTGATCTGAAAAGTTGGCTAAGCTCAGCAGGGCCCACAAGCATGGCTTTGCTCTTCTGAATCTCAGTCAAAAAAGGTAGTCAACTCATACAGCAAATTAGGTGAAGACGCAAAGTTTTGGCAGTGTGAAGTTGTAGTTGAAGTTGATATTGAAAGTAACAAGAAAAGAAGGGTAGTTATCTGCACAATGTTTTTGCTTTTAACTTACAACTTTTTTTTGGGGGGGGGGGGCAGGTAAGGAAACTAAGGTGTCTTGAAAGAATACTCAGCACCTTCTTAAGATAGTTCCAAAAGTACAGAATGAGTAAGCTCTTGAAGGGTGGATCACCTGCAAAGCGGGTCATTATTTTTGAAACTGCAATTTCCAATAACCATGTCCTCATTTCATTTTAGATATGCCTACGTAAGAGTGTAAATACTAGGGAAAGTCAGAAATAGCTGTAACGTCAGGGTTAACAAGGTAAGTGAAATACAACAACAACAAAAAAGCATCAATATATTCTTGGGCCTGATTTAACAAATACTAATTGTGCAGTCACTGTGCAAAGCACAGAATGAATAAGCTGTGCTCTTTGCTCACGTGTGTCTGTAACCTCGCAGGGGGACTGACCATTAAACTGGGCGATGACAGTCCCGTGGGAAAAGCACTGCTGTAAACACAGGTCCTGGTTGTAGCGGAACATCCGCTTCCCATGGGGTCCACCACGTTCACCGCCAGCACCTTGTTCGGAGCCTTAGCATCTTGAGGTTTCCTGGCGTGTGGAGGCAGCGAGCATTTATGGGATGAATAAACACGGGAGCCACTGTGGAGGATGTGCAGTTGAACTGCCTTTAAAGAATTAAATGGGTAAGAAAGGAAAGGAAGGGCAAGCCAGACACAAACGAGGCGGGAGAGCCCAGCACGGCCGCGGCACCGCATCGCCCCGCACGGGCCATGTCTGCGTGCCAGCTGTCATGCTCGGAACCAGACGGCTTTGCTCTGTTCCAGGGGAAACAGGAGGCGGGGCAGGGGCCTGGCCAAGAATCCTGGGCTTGACCCTGTAGGCAATAGGTAGAGCTTAAGGAGAAATTTTTTTTTCATCCTCACCTGAGGATATGTTGTTTTTATTGATCTTGGAGAGGGGGAAGACTCAACCCATTGCCTCCCATACACACATCAACTGGGGATGGAACCTACAACCTAGGTATGTGACCTGACCAGGAATTGAACCCACAGCCTTTCAGTGTACGAGACAACACTCCGACCAACTGAGCCACCAGGCCGGGGTACTTAAGTGGAATTTTAAGTGGACTGTTGTAGCTACCAAATGAGGGGATAAATGGAAAGAAACTACTTTGTAAACTATAGTGTTACATAATTTGTGCAAGATCACAGAGGCAGCACATACCAGAGCAGAAAGTTAAACCCCTTCCACAACTGGAAAACCTATGTCGCCCGCTCTGTGCTGTGTGCAGCTTGTGGGAAGAGGGAGGGGCCCAGGCAAGGAGACCCCTTTGGGAGGCAACACCACAGTACAAGGACTTCAGGACTTAGGGTAGAGTGACCTTTTATATATCAGACGTCTAGGGTGTTTACCCCTCAGGGAAGTGCAGGGTAGGGCCAGCTGGTGTTGGAGCCAGGACGTGCTCTGTGTGATCCTGCAAACCTCAGTCTGCTCGTCTGTAAATTGAGTGTAACACCCACTGCTCAGGGTTTTGGGAGAAGCAAATAGTGCGTCTGAAACTCAGTTTTCGAATGCTGGGGCTCTGCACAAATCTCAGTCGTGTTGACCATCATCGCCTGACGCCTCATAGCCTAGATTAGTGGTCCTCCAAGTGTGGTCCCTGGACCAGCAGCATCCCACCACGGGGGAACGTGTTAGAATCGCAGAGAGAGTCCTCGCTCCCGCCCAGACCCGCTGAATCAGAAGCTCCGGGAGTGGGGCCCAACCACCTGCCCCTGCGGCCCTCCTGGGGGTTCACATGCATGTTCACGTTCGAGATCCACTGGCCCAGAGCCACCACTCCCTGGGATCTGGGCCTCAGATTATGGTGCCAAAAACAACTCCGTCAGCCTTTCCCAAGGTAAACACGGGAGGGACAAAAATAGAATGTGGGCCGAAGTTCTTTAGCACATGCCTACCGTTAAGTTAAAAATTGGCATTTTGCTGATGTCATTTGCCCAAGGCCGGGCTGCTGGGATAACGCAGAGCAAGGGGTTTCCAGATGTTCTCAAACCTCAGCGCTCTGCCTGCTGTGCCCTCGTGGCCTCCCCTCCCGCAGCTGCGGGACCTTTCAGGCTAGTCAGGCAGAGACCACGGGGCACGTGATGCTGCAAAGCTCTGATCAGCAAACAAAGCCGAGGCCGGGGGGAAGGCCACACAGTCCAGTAAGTGGTGCCATTGAGCTGGGGACAGAGCAAGCAGGGCAGGCAGGCTCCTCCTCTTCGCAGGCTTCTATTCCAGGGGAGACACCAGATAACGCACATGGGATCCGTTGAGAGGTGAGGAGGGTGATGGGTGGTGCCGCAGAGAAAACGGGGTAGCGTCATAGGGGTGTGACGATTTCTGGAACCTGGATGGGCAGGGGAGGCCTCTAAGAGCTAATATGTGGGTAGGAACCTCATTCAGGCAGAGACCGCAAGTCCAGAGCCGCTGGGGTAAGAGTGAGCAGGGTGCATTCTACTAGCCGAGGTTTGATGGCACTGGGGGACTTGGCGTGGGGACAGTCTTACGGCAGCGTGAAAGCAACAAGGGTGGAGAGCAGAGGTCTAGAGTAGATCACTCAAGTCCAGGGGCCAGGGGAGTTAGGACATTGCTTTCTTCTGCTGTGTGAAGGGGGCACAGGGCAGTGGGCATGAAATAAGGGAGGGGCTGCCTTTATGGAATAAACTGGACTTGGGCAGTGTCAGACCTTCCCCTTCACCCTCTCCTCACACTCCCCCCGCCCCCCCGGCAGGCTGACCTCGCCCTGTTGTCTGCTCCAAAGGCAAAGCAGCAGCCCCTGCAGGAAGCTTTCACCCCCACCGGCAGCACAGGACACAGGACAGGACTCCGCCTAGACGTGACCCCTTCCTTGTGCGACATCGCGGAGCAGGCACAATCGGTTTTTGTCTGTTTCTCACTGGATGGTGGGTCGTGGTGATGAGTGGCCGCCAGATCTGCTACCTTCTGTGAAGATTCCCAGAAGCAGGGGGGACCCACTCACGAGCCAAGGCTGGGAGCCAATTTCCAGGAGGGGGAATGAAAGGAAGGAGCCAGAAATCGGGCTCAGCTCCCCACTGTCAGGACCAGGCGGAGAATCGCACCTGGGAAGGAGCTGTTGGCAAGGTGCTGCAAAGCCGTGCGCTTTCAGATCCTCTCCATCTTCAACTGATTCCCCTGAAAATACAATGGATGTAAATGCTCTGGTCACATCTCCTTCAAAGAGCACACGCGTAAAGATGCGATGGGCCCCAGGATGATGGGACCGCCTTGCAGGAGTTCTAATGAGGCGCCCAAACGTTGTCCCACCCAGGCCCAGCCTCTCTCCCAGGGCAAGCCGATTTTTTTTTTTCTTTTTTGAAAACTTAACTTACTAAATTACAGTTGACATACAGTATTACGTTAGTTTCAGGTGTAAAACATAGCGATTAGACATTTCTATACCTTACGAATTGCTCACCCCAGTAAGTCTAGTTCCCACCTGGCACCATACATCATTATTTCAGTGTTATTCGCTGTCTTCCCTGGGTTGTGCTTTTCATCTGTGTGACTGTGTTCTTACCACCGGCAGCTTGTGCTTCAAGCTGCTTTTCTCCTCTACCCCTGATAAGATGTTGTCTGGCTGTGGCTTGAAGCAAGAACTATAGCAGCAGCAGTAGTAGTAATAATAACAATTTTTAGAGCAGTATTTATTAGATGTCCAGCACAAATCATCATCCAAGGCTCTTTTAACTCATTCCTCATTTAATCTGCACGGCATCCCTGCACGTCCCAGATGGGGAAGCCGAGGCTCAGTAGACTCTTTCTCAGCAGCCACCCAGCCAGGGACAGGGCCAGAACGGACGCCCGGCCCCTCCAACGCCAGGGAGGCCGCCCTCACCTCCGCGCCCCGCACGGGCATCAGGGCAGCCCCCGCCAGAGCCCTCAGCAGCGCGCCCGCTGTTTCTCTTCAGTCCCTTCCTGACCAGAGCGCGCACAGCTGACACGCGTCCCGTTCCCTCTGACCTCCTCTCGGTTGACGTTTCCCAAACTCTCGTATGATTCTAATTCTCCGTTGACCGAGCGTTGCTGGGTGCTATTTTTAGAACTTGGATTACGCATGAATTGTTCTGGTTTCACTGCTTATTGTTGAATCACCGGTTTTTTTCCTCCCTAAGGAACCGTGACAGCGTGAGGCGTCACAACATGGATTTCTGCGATCCCTGGCACTTTGGAAATAGTCTCCGTGTGGCTTGCATTCATCCAGCAAGGTGGGCGCAACGGGATCGCATTGCCCGTGTACCAGCAGGCCTTGGTTTCTAGTCCCGTGGGTGCGGTGCCAGGACCAGGGAGGACGGCTCCCCACTGCATTGGGCACAGGCTCGCTAAACACACAGTCCTAAGAGGCCTGCACTGCTGACCCCACGCTAAGGAGGGAGGCGGGGACAGCACACTCTTCCCCCCTCGGGCGAGAGCAAACACCACAAAACAATTTTAAAATGGGTATTATTTTTCATCCTTAGTGAATACATACTAGTTATAGAGAAGTCAGAGACTAATCAGACAAAGGCCGGGGTGGGGAGAGGATCGCCACAGTCTCACCATCTAACTGGATGCCTGTTCCTTCTTTCCAGCTGCTTTTGACAATGTCGATATGCGCACACATACGTTTCTGCGTGAAAATAGATCTTAGCGAGATGCTGCACGATGGTTTGTAACGAGCTTTGTTTCCTTCACGTGGACTAGAATGCCATGTACCATCCGAACATAATTTATTTCGGCGATTCCTTTTTGTTGGGTATTTGTCTGATGATTTCTTGAGGGTAAATCCCTAGAGCTGGAGTTCCTGGGGCCAAAGCACCACATGACTTCTGATGTGGGTGACGAAGCTGCCCTCCAGAGGGACCCAGCGTGTGAGCGCGCCTGGAGCCCCACGCTCTCAGCAGCCCTGGTGGGTGACCGTCCCAGCCCCTGCCCACCTCCCGGGGTTTTAAAAAGCATACCTAGGTATAAGGGCATCATTAAATATTTGTAATATATTTATTAGATATGTTTTCAATTTTAGGGGCATGTGTAGTCATACCTTTTAATTTGTGTGTGTGTGCTGGCTGCGAGCGGAGGGCTGGGAGGAGGAAGCTGGGAAGCCTGCTGATTGGCCCAGACCAGAGTTCCGGCCCCTGTGGGAGAGCCACGCCCAGGAGAGCACTGTCACTCAAACCCAGTGTACACACACGTGTATATATAACTGGGAAGTGAACCTTCACCGGCAATATTTACCTTCACTCTGATTTAGTCCAACATTTTTTGTTTACATGTTTAAATGCTGTTCCTACCACAGTTAAATCGATTGCATAATCCTGTGATGGACCGGCTGCTATCGTTTGAAAAATCACTGGCTTAAAAGAATCAACTGCCTGGAACATATCGGCACTGAACCAAATCAGGGTCTGGTTAGCACCGAAGAAGAGGGAGGTAGATATCAGAAACACCCAAACTGGGACCAGCGTCAGACCTAAAAGGAAGGCCAGGCTGTGGCCAGGTGCAGCCGGGAGAGGAGGCAGGGAAGCAGAACAGTGTCTGGGCGCCCCGCTCCGCTGGCCTGTGCGCAGGGAGTCGGGCTGGGAGAGCGTTCGAGCCCCCCCTAGCGCAGAGGACCCTGACTACCAGGCTGCAGCAGAGACCCTTCACGGAGGGGCTCATCTCGGGCTGCTGTGACAAATTACCAGACACTGGATGGCTTAAACGACAAACATTTATCTCCCAGTCCTGGGACCTGGAAGACCGTGGTCAGGGTGCCAAGGACCCTCTTCCTGGTCTGCTGTCTTCTTGTGTCCTCCTGTGGCAGAGGGCAGAGAGGAGGGAGTAAGCTCTCTCTCCTGTCTCTGCTAAGGGCACCGCAACAGTTAATTTTATGTGTCAACTTCAATGGGCTAATGTGTATTTATTTAAATAAATAACAGTATTTCCGGGTGTTTCTGTGAGGGTGTTTCTGGAAGACACGTTAGCATTTAATTCAATAGAACTAAATAAAGAGATCAAGTCCTCGCCAGTGTGAGCGGGGCATCACCCAATCCACTGCGGGTTCCATGGAACAAAAAGATGAAGGAAGAGTGACCTGTCTCTGTCCTTGAGCTGGGACATCCATCTTCGGCTGCCCTCGGACATCATCGGAGCTCCCAGCTCCTCCAGGGCCTTCGGACTCCAGGCCTTACACTAGCGGCCTCCGCAGGTCTCAGGCCTCTGGGCTCAGACTGAATCATAGCCCTGGGTTTCTGGCTCCCTTGCTTGCAGACAGCGGATCTCGGGACTTCCTGGCCCCCATCACTGCCTGGGTGAATTCCTACAATCCATCTCATGTATCTACATACCTCCCTTTGGTCTGCTTCTCTGGGAACCCTGACAATCCAGGCATGGGTCCCCTTCATGAGGGCCTCACCCTCAGGACCTACTCACCTCCCAAAGGCCCCACCTCCTAGCTGCCCCCTCCCCGCCTTGCACTGCGGGTTCTGATTTAGGGGAGCAGAGACCGTTCCATGGTATGACCACCATCTGACCTGGGAGCTGAACCTGGGCCACAAGGGGGAGATTGCTTCCTGCAACCCTACCTTGAAGATAATCTGATCATAATCGTTGCTCTTTTGACATAAACCAGCACCCCTCCCCTGCCTCCCACAGAGTGCTGACTCCTGGAACAGGCCGCTGCCCTGACCTTGTCAGAAATGTCAAGTGATTCTGGTACCTGGCAACATTTACATACTATCCCCCCACCCTGTACCCTGTTCTTGGCCTTCTGCCAAGAGGTGCGGTCATTCATTCTGTCTTGCGGTTTCCCAAGGTGCACCTCGTATGTAAGTTTCTCTTAATAAACTCTACCAATTACGAGGCGAGAGTGCCCAGCGCTTTGTTTGGTCTCTCCATGCCCTCTGCTTACAGAGGTAGGTTTTCAGTCCAGGGGTCTTCTCTTGGGTCTGTGTGTACTAACAGATTGCAGCACAGAAATTTGGTGGGGCAGGAGGAGCAGACACAAACGTTCGACCCCTAACAGAGAGAGTTGTCCCTGGCAGGAGTCCCCGGCCCCCAGCTCCCCAGCAGCCTTTCTTCCCAGAGATCATTTTTCTTACAACAGGCTGGCTCACCTCGGGGCTGTTCACCAAGCTCAGTGCTGTGTCTTCAGTTGGGCTCGGTTGCGACTAGTTCTCCGCATCTGTTTTCTCCTGTAGGATACCGTTTCCTCACGCCTTTTCAAGTACACAGTCATCACAAATGCTCTACCAAGGCTCTGCTTACCCTCGTCCCCTGGATATGTCCCCCAGTGGCTTTGAACGACTGTCGCGGAGAACATGCGTCCTCTCCGACGGAGCGACGGTGTGCAGAGCACCTGCCGTATCGGACGCGGCCCCTGGCACCCTCTCACGCCCCTCCATCACCGTGGCCCCGGCAGGCTGAGGACACAGCAACTGGATATGAAATGATCCCCATTCTGTCCCGACTGGACACAAAATCTCCCCCAAAAAGGGGCCTTTGCTCCGCCGTCTTGGTGCCCAGAGATAAAGCATCTTTATTTTTACCGGTGGTCCTTTCCCATTCCATTGAAGGAGTGTTTCACTAAGTCTTCCTGATGTTTTAGTGCAAGTCCTGGCTCCTGTCCCTTTGGAGTGTCAGCTTCCCTGTCATGAAGGTGATGGTCCATCAGCGATGATGGGCAGGAAAGGGGCCCCATTCCCATGATGCTTTGGGTCTATTTTTGTAAGGAAGAGATGATCTAATAGGGTACAATAGGTGCCGCAAAAGTGGGAACTCCCTGAACTTAAAGGGAATCTCAATGTATTGTCTTCCCTTGACTCATTCATAAAGGCAACAAACCAAGCAGGAAGGAGACTCCCCCGCAAATCACTGCAGTGCCTGTGAGCGGTAGCCTCTGAGACTCACTGCGGTATTTACTGCAATGGTGCTGGACTCTGTGTCTGTTTCTATATGCTACCTCGAGTCCTTAGGACACGGCGGTCCAGAAAGAATCCGGGAACCCAGAAACACAATCCCCGTTGTCTGGCAAAGCTGGGCTCCCCTGGGCTGATAGCTGAGGGAAATAAGTGGTCATCGTGTGATGATAATAAAATCTTGTGTTTTGGTTGGACCTGATGTTTTCTGGACTGTATCCTCATCAGTTACCCACTGGAGGAAATCTGGTTAATTACTCTCATTTATCAAAGTAGGAAAACAAGGCCTGGAAAGGTGCGCGGGCCAGCCCCACGCCGCTGGCGAGTGCCAGAGGCCAGTCTCACACAAACACGGGTCTCTAGTCCTCAACTGGGACTTTGTCCCACCGTGTCCCCTGGGGAGAGCACCCTACTGCCATGCAAATTAAATTCCTATGATTTCCTAATTAAAACAGCATTAATGAGCTCTGTCATCTTAACAGAGATGGCCGCTCTTGACGTGGTGTTTTCTCCACTTTGCAGAAGTCCTTTTCCTTTCAACTGTTAAATTAGGTCACACAGTAGCCCCCCAAGCAAGCTGCTGACCCAGTTTGAAAACTGGAGCTGAGCCTCCGTGCAGAAGTCAGGTCCTCAGAGTGGACTAGCATCGTCTCCCTCTGTACTGGGCAGCTCAGCCTCGGTTCACGGGGGCCAGCTCCCAGCCCTGGGGTCTCATCCCTGAGTTTTCCCTCTCTGCTGTTTGGATGAAATGACACTAAGCTTTTATTTTTAACTAGCGATCTACGAGTCACCAAGAGCCTGTATACCTTATCTTATTGGCCCTTGAGAGGGGCCCTGGGAGGTTCTAACACATACTACTAGTCTGTGTTTACAGGGTGCTTCTCACCACATCTGGGCTCTGCTCAGGTGCTGTAGGCGCTTCCGATCCTTCATTCTGCACATACATTTGTGAGCCAGGTACTGTTACTGTCTATTTTTACAGGTTAGACGTCGAGACTTAGGGAGATGTGGCTAAGCTCAAAGAGACACACAGTAAGTGGCAGAGGCAGGATTCAAACCAGACAGTTGGTTCAGACTGTCCTGAGAACCACTATGCCGCCTCTGCACTCCACCTGCAGCCCTGGGGCGGGTTTGCCGGTGGGACCATGGTCCCGTCCACAGAGCAGACGGGGCCAGCAGAGCGCTAAATGGTCTTAGGATCATCCTCTCCCCTGGGCGCCTCCACGCAGACTGGACATCGGCTGGCCCAGCAGGGGAGCCGAGGGGTGCAGAGAAAGGAACCCACTCCTGCTGACGGTCAGCTTCACGCCCGGGAGAAGCCTGGGTACTTGCCACCCACTGTCTTAGTCCCCCCAGCAAGGAGGACAGTCTCATCTCAGGTCCTTCGTTGAGGAGCCTGGTGCAAGGGAGGCTACGGGAACACACAGCAGAGGGTGGGGCTGAGAGCTGAACCCTTTTGCAGACGTGGAAGGCCCTGGCTGTGAGCCCACGGCCAAGCGGCGCCCTCGCCCTGTCCAGGGTCAGAGAACAATTTCCCTGGTGGGTGCCAATGAGGAAGGAGCCTGCTGCTGGCTGGCATGACATGTGGTGTAAACCAGGCACCGGCAGGAGTCAGGGGCTCCTCGGTCAAACACTGAACTGCGCCAGGGCTTCCGATTCTCATGGACCAGGGCCCCAGACACCTCACAGACGGAATGTGCTTTACTTAGGGCAGATCCCACGTGGTTGTGTCCAAGAGGAACATCCACTGATGTTGACCGTGGTGCTTCCTTGTGGGTGAGGAGGGGGCGATCCAGCCAGCTCTCTCCCCCGGGGAGACGAGGAGATGCAGAACCTGCGGTGAGGGCCTCCAGCAGAGCTGGACAACCACACGCACACAGGGTCGGACATCTTCTGCATCCGGGAAAGACCAGGGCTCTGGGGGGACCCCCTCCCTCCAGAAACAGTGGGGTTCAGGGAGCCAAGGTTCCTCTCGGCGGCCCAGGGCCACCGCTCCCCCAGCCCCAGTGTGGTTCTCAGGAAGGCTAGGTGCTGCCGTCTCATTGCCGGGCGTGGGGGGCAGAGAGACCCCAGGATCCCCCTCCCAGCCTTGCATAAGAGCTGAGCCATCTGGCTTAAGGAGGGCTGGAGGGACGGGGACCTCTGGTTTCCCCGATTCTCCCCTCCCCGCTTGCCGTGGGGTAAGAAGGTGAACCCCCAAAGATCCGACTGTGAGGGGTCCAGGCACTGGCTACATTCTTTAGACTCTAGCAGCTTTGTAACTCCTCTGCAGAGCTCTGGTCCCCCAGCGACTTGAAGGGTTGCTGAAGGAGATGGACAGGGGTAGAAGGTCAAAGGGGACGAGGGTGTTTAGGTGTGGGCCAGGGGACACGGGGAGTCCTGGGCGCAGCGGGGTTCAGGGGGCAGATTGCCCTTTCTCCCTACTTTCACCAGCTTGACCTGGGGCAGGTCCCTGGGGGCTGCTCCTGGGGATCCCCAATCCTGGACACCTTGTCATCTCCCCACAACCCAGCCATTCAGCACACCTGGCCCAGCGAAGTTCGGAGTCTGTCCTGAGGGCAGGTGCCTAGGCGCCTGGATTGTGAAATATTTTACATGTCACTCTTGGCACTGAAGAAAATTTCATCTGATAAAAAGTTCCTCTTGCTTTAAAAAAAATTGGAAACTATTCTGCTCCACAAGCCCCATCTTTCTGTGGCTGAGGGTCTGAACCGGGGCACAAGGCTTTTCAGTTGAGGCCATTAAAAGGTGTTTTAAATATAAGAAAATTTTACATCCGAATAGAATTCCTGGTTTTTAACTTGCTCTAGTCCCATCTCCAACTCTCCTCAAGCCCAGCGGGAGCCTTGAAAAAGAAGC